TATATATATATATATATGTCTAGGATATATACACAGCGTACAACTACTATATTTTTATCACACAAATTGATCGTAATTTAATTTTTCGAAAAACTAATTGATAAAATAAACGTTTTTATATATTTTTTTTGAAATGTTATCAATTACAATCTGAGAACATATAGGGCTACGTGCTTTGCGGTCTGCTGCTTGAAAATGGTACTTGAATGCAGATCGTAACGAGGGCCAAGGCAGCAGCGCACCGCAACTCAAGTACTTTTAATTACACTTTTGTAATAAGTACGTTAACTTTGTAGGCGAAAAAACTATTTCTATTTAAATCAACTTACAACTATGATAAAATAATCAAAAGGGCACAAGATTTTGTTCTTTTCTCTTCCTAGTCGTTAACATCGGCAATTCCACCGGAAGTGATAGAAAACATGACCTGGTTTTCGGCCAAATCGGGACTGTCGTATAATTTTGCGATTCTCTTTTCGCCTTCGGCTTTCAGGAACGCAACTCTTGTTGTGGATGCGTGAGCCAAAATATTTCCACCGATCGGTTTCAACACCACGTCTTGTTGTGTTGTCGTCAGATCTGTCGTTATCTGATTTGTGATAAAAACAGCCACGTTATATTCCTCACTAATTTTCTGCAAACGAGACAACATTTGTCCCAGTTTCTGTTGTCTGTCTGCTATTTCTCCCCTGCCTGAATAATCGACTCGAAACAGGGCCATGATCGAATCGATAATGAGAAGTTTAAAAACTCCCGCTTCTTCGTGGAACTTTGCCGCTACGTTATTCAAAAGTTCGAACTGGTGCTCTGAATTATAGGCGCGTGCGTAGAGGATGTTGTCTTGAACTACAAGCGGGTCCAAATTAAAACGGTCCGCAATTGTTCGAAGCCTTTCCGGGCGACTAACAAATAAAAAATATAATAAATAAAGAGATAAATGTCATTAGTTACATTCTACATACAAGGTGTGTTCTGTATCGATAAAAATCACTTTTCCGCCCAAATATCCATTTGAACCTGGCATTTGCGCAGTGACACATAAAGTATGCGAAAGTTGAGTTTTTCCGGCTCTAAATTCCCCAAATACTTCCGTTATGGACATCGATTCGACACCACCACCTAATAATTTACTTGAAAACACCGTTATTGTTAACTATTATTATTTAAAAAGGCCATATTAACTTACTCCAACGCATTACTTCCGGTACTTAATTTAAATAAATGTTTTCGTTGATCTGAAAATTCTGATGCTGTTATAAAACAGTTTGGCAATGAGATCTTTGTGCAAGCTTCTTTTATTTTTGCCACTTTTTCGTCATTCGAACCGATTATTTCGCAGAGTTTCTTTGTAATAGTCATTTGGGCACCTTTAATAGTATTTATGCCCGCAGCTTGTAGCTTTCTTATGTCTTGAATAGAAATTCCATGTTCTTCGAGAAGAACAATGTCCTGAAAACAGATTTCTTCTTCTTCAATATCTGCATTCGTATCTTCCGTTGTGTCGCTAAGTGGCTTCTCTGTTTCATTAATATCCATCATTCTCGCTGCCATGAAAAGGTTTCCAACTATATTATTATTACAGTTTTAACTCGAAAAGCGTAGTCTTCAAGAAACTTGCAACTGTAGTGTAATCAATACAATATTAAACTTTAATAATAAACAAAACAATTGACAGACGTTACCATTGTTGCGTAGGACCGCAGGTCACTTCATTTAGTCGTGTGATTGGAGATATATACTTACGATACACTATACACTAATCTCTTATCTAAAGATTTTGACCATAGATAATGATTTTGACTTTGACCATAGATAAAACTTTTCATCGTCATGGTGAACTTCCCAAGTGTCTAAATAATGGCTAAACAGTGCAAGGATTATAATTTTTCCAGCTTTACATGCATTTAATTGAAATTAATGAAATAAGTATAATAAAAATCCGTAAAATATCAACAGCAAAAGCATAATCATGAAATAATGGCAATAAATGTGCAGTTTTTTTTCATCGCACGAAAACGTCTATAATAACCAGAAAAAGATTAATAACTAGATTACAGTTTGTTCAATTAGTCTGTACTTCTATTGCATACTGACAAAGGAGAAAATCGGTAACGCTAGGAAGTTTATCCACTTCGTCATTTATCTATGTCTGCCACTATAGGGAACTAACTTCATAGTCGTAAACTGCCAATCAGTCAGAATTTGAAAATTAATGACAAACAAAAGAGAGAAAACAAAACACGATTCGTTTTGAATGTTACAATTCAATAATTGCTGATAAGTAAACGAATGTAAGTAATGTTAATTGATATGATCTATTAATATACAACAGCTATTAAAATCCATAGTATAATTTGATTTGGCCATGAAACTAGCTGCGTTGCTAAAATGTATTCAGAATCAGCTCTTAACGGTTTTAACAAATCTGTGTTATCTATAAATTCTAACAGTGAACTGACGTTAGTGTATGTTTTGCATACAAGAAAGCCTTTCATCTAAAATAGATATGTTACTGACTATAAAATAAACTGAACGTTGTTACATATTACCTTCTGTTTGTGTGAAAATTGTACACTTAATATGGTTTGTGCTATATCAAAATCCGGCTGGTCGCTAAAACAGCCGTTAATAAATTTCAACATATGTTTTTTGAATGTTTTGCTTAGGCTGCTGCAGAATTTAATTGTTTCCCCATTTGTAAGTTTAGCAATTTTTTTGTGAATTTTCTTTTCCAGTTTGCTTTGTAGTAAATACTGTTCATTAGATAGTGTTCTAAAAGCTACTCTCTGCTGAATTGAAATTGATGGTCCTACGATTTCTTCAGTAAATAGGGGCAACCAGTCTGATATTTTGCTAAAGTCAAACCGAGTATTTGTTACTTTATTAGTTCTCTGAGTGTTTGCCCAAACCTAGAATTAATAGTTTTAAAAAGTGATAGTTAAATCAGCAATATCATACATTTTTTCTATTGATGACACAATAGATTATCTGTAAGGGAGATATACTGTCTAGGATATTGTATTTTGTGCCAGTTGTTACATCAAAAATGTAATATGTAGGGGCATAGGAGTTTGATGTTGATTCTCTTGTTAAGACATAAGCACTAGATCCATTAGGTGTACCATAGCCCAATAGTAGCCAAACATGTAAATCTAATGACTGCAGACAACAAGCTAGTGTTACTGCATGGTCCACCACTGAACCAACCATAATATTCAAAAATTGCTGTAAACAAAAGAATTAAGCTTGGTTATTAAGAAATAAGTGGAAAGTAGAATAGGTAATACATGTACTTAATTAATACCTTTGCTGTAAGCCAGATGTTTTGATAATATTTGTTATAATCGGTGAAAGAAAATTTAGAAATGTATTTGGCCAGTTGCTGGGTGGTAACTTGAAAATTATCTGGATTCAGCTGTGGAAGTTCAATAGGAGTTATATATCTGGTAACGCAGCTCGTTCGACCGTAAACGTCTATGGCAAGAGCAGAAAATTTTCTGCGAGGAAAATTCTCGTTATACCGTTCGTTCCATTTTAGAATGTAATTTCTCAAGTATGGCGTTTCGTTGCTTTGCAATTTTTCCTATATAATATTTTTGATTAGATTCGATAACATGCTTAGGTCAATTACAAAAAAAAAAAATAATCATTACCATGTCAGCATGCAAACGAGGCATAAAAGGCTGTGCCCTTATGGACAGAGACAAGCCTATAGGACTGATATGAGGATAAATGTTTGCCCTTTTTTCCGGTTCATATCCGAACAAAAGCGTGGGCGTTTCGAGCCGAAATACACCTTCTAACTGTAAGTTAAATTCGGAAAATTAATATCTGAATGTATAAATGTAAAAGATAGTAAATAAATAAGTACAACCGTACTATGTCACTTTCGTAAATGGATGAAATGTTAATTTCTGTCGATCCAAGCCATATTTTTTCTTCGCTATTTAATATATCAAATAAATGCAGACTGATTGAACCACTTAAAAAATTTGGACTCATAAAATCTACATTTAAAGTTCTGGAAACAAACATGTCCTAGATTTTTTTTTTATTGTAAGTTTCTTTACTTACTCAATTTCTAGTACCAGTGTTTCGTTCCAAAATGGGTTTGAACTGTTAATGATGCCGCTTTCCACACTTTTACTGTTTTTTGAGTGTTTTAAAACAACGCACAATCTTAAATAAAAATCATCCGAATTATTTTCAGTGTGTTCGTCTCTGTGTACATATTTTCTTGTTCTTTTTGGAACGTCCAAGGCTGATCGTATTGTCACGAATATTTTAAGGGGTGCCCTTATATTGAAAAATGTTTCATTTCTGGACGACGTCTTTTGAAAATTCATGTCGTTATATGGCATTAAATTTAAACGAGAATGTAATGTTAACCAGTTGAACGTGTTGTTAATCGCTTGCTTTAAGTAGTTCCTATAAGAAAACGTGCAATCAATTAATATGCAAATGTTTTAATTAACAGTAATTTATTACTCGAATTGTCGTACAAGTTGTTCGTTTACGACATCGTCGTAGGAAAGATTAATGTCTGTGTTTCGACATTTTTGAAAAACTTGGTAATATATTTCACGTAGTATAGCGAGTCCTTCAGGTTTTGTAACGTTATCCTTTTCTATCAAAGATGCGTAAACTTCTTTCTCGTTTTTTCTCATCTTATAATTAGTTATTGTGTGTTTGGATATTTCTTTTTCGTTTATTGGCACACGATGCCCATAAAATTGGGGTTCGTTTTTATCTCTAAGCTGTAACATTGTTAGTCTGTCGTTCGTTTTAATCGCTTCATTTTTACAAAATGTTAACGGTCTCAAATAATAGTTGTAACTAAAATATTTATTAAAAAAAAAAGCTATTTTGTACCATAAAGTTTCAATACCTACTGAAACTGTTTTGTGTATTCTTCCGAATGTGAATATGTTTCTTTTTCTAGGGTTCCAGTTGCAAAGTTATCAAACTTTGAATTTTTGGGATCTTGGGGATCGTTTTTGTTGGACGGTGCTTCGTTGACTGGATGAAGCATCTGTTCGACGTTGTAATCAGTATTGCTACTGTAAGAAACGTTCCCCTTTATCGTCCATTCAACAACGTATGACATAATACCAGACGTTGACAATCCTAAGTCCTCCAAAATGAGATTGTACTTTTCGAAGAATAACTTTTTCACACACTCGCCAGAGCCAACGCCGCCATATTTTCGAGGTACTTGTTGTCCATTTTCAAAAGAAATTTCCATCACTTTGCATGTAGGCAATCGAGGCAGAGTCAAATTCGTTTCGTACAATTTCTTCTTCGAGGTGTTGTTGCCACTCTGTTCAAATAGTTCGAGTGTAACGGGTTCAGAAATCGTTTCTGTTATTATAACGAACTTTTCGTCAAAGTCACAAAAGAAATTGTCGTCCATTTCGATAATTTTTGATTTGCAAATTTCAATTCCATTGTGAAGCAATTTAAAAAAAATTTTCGTACCTCTAATAACAGTGCGTCTTAATTTTTCATTTTTATTCTCCACTACTTCCGTTATTTCTTGATCATATTCAATAAAAAAATCAACGATCGGTTCGCCAGGTTCTCTGAAACATTTTTCGTATTTACTTTTGACTTCGTCAAATGACAAATGTTCTTCTACACTAATATCAAGATCGTCAGATTGTTTAATGAGTATGTTTCTATTGCGTTTTAGAAAATCGTTTTCGTATTTTATTTCGTAAAATAACATTTTCATTTCGACGTCCATGTCGCGCTTGTCTTGAACATAGTTTCGCTTTTCTTTTTTGATTATTAGTCTTAGTGGTGTAGAAATGTGTCCGTCGATTTTTCTCACATGCTTTAACATTTTCCACGTTTCCAAAATATTTTTGACCGTTCTTCTTCGACTTATACGTTCATCAAGCACTTTTTCTCTTAGTTTATAAATTTCTATTATTATTTTATACATTTTTTGTAAAGCAATGTCATATTCGTCGTCATCGGCATCTGCGAGATAATTTTCCAAGTTTTTCTTTGTATTTCTCAAGTAGTTTAATCGTTTTGTAACTCTGTCAATTTTGTTTCCGTCTTCTTCGCGTTTGAATAGCGTATAATAATAAATTAAACGATTTTGAAGAACATGTTGTGCACTAAAAAGTGGATGGTGTTGGAATTTCAAATAACGAACGTATATTTGTAAAACGTTTCCTTCATCAATTCTGACTCCTTCTAATTGAGGCATGTCAAATTGCGCAGGAACGTATTGGGAAATATTATTCATATGGATATTTAGATACGACACATTTGGTCTCAATAATGCGTACTCCAATGGTGCCTTCGTTATTTTCAAATTTCCTTCACAACTAAACCATTTTCTACGAATTTCAATAGTTTAATAGTGTACGTTTACTGTCTTCCTTCTTACTTCTCATTTTCCATCATCAATCTTTGTTCCAACATGCTCCTTTGGGATTTTGTCATTGATGGAAGACTTTCTACATATATTCCTTCTTCAGATAAATATCGAGGACCGTTTGCCTCAATTTTAGCAAATAAGGGTGGGTCAGATCTGAAAAGGAACACTTTCAAAAATTAAGTAAAAACTTTTTTTAAACCTACCGCGACGGTTTCCAAAAGTGTTTTTTTTCCGATGACTCTACTACATAGTTTAAACTTTGAGGCCAGAATAAAACTAAACTATTCTCGTACCCTACTACCTTTTTGGCAACTTCCTGAAACTCGAAATATACATATGTCTATATTGTATACTAAACAAGCAAATGATAAGTATTTATACATTATCTGTTTCTAGTTGCTGTTCTGCGATAAAAAAATCAAATTCATCTATCAGTTTCGATTGATTATTATTGGTTTTTATTCTAATTTCACAATCTTTAAGATCGTTACGGATAGTTCCAACTTCTTTTTGAATTGTTTGTGTTAATCTTTTTATAGTTTTGAGACCACCTGTGTATTTTTCCAATGTTTTTCGTGTTTTTCTTGCTTGTATTTTTTTTACATGAAATCTTTGACGAAATTTTATTCTATAATTTTTTTCATTCGCCTTGGAAACGGAAATTGTATTATTATACGGAGAACTCGTAATAACTTCGACGAAAGTCGCACCGTTAGTAGAATTTTCAGTAACTGTTTTTGCCTTATTGTTAGTTTTTGAATATTCAATGCGTTCGATAGCTTCGTCCTAAAAATATCAATTTTAATTTAATGTCATTGTCAGAAAGATAAATGCATACTTCCGAAGATAACATTTTTAACTATATGGTACGTAAATGAATCAGGTAAATCGTAGTTTTGTTTGTATTGCGCGTTTATCTTTCTTAGCAACCCCTTGACACGATTACACTACTGCAAACTTCATTGTAAACTGCTACGTGAAAAATGAATATTTTCCAGTTTTAGTATTACACATGCACTTATTCGTTATTTTTTTTTTATTTAATTAATTTTGTTTTACTTTTGCAGTTCAAATGACGACTCTGAAAAAGTTGTTGATAAATGGCGTTCGAAATTTTAATCCGGAGGATGGGAACCAATTAATAAAATTTTCCGCACCGTTGACGCTGTTCATTGGTCAAAACGGTTGTGGTAAAACAACCATAATAGAATGTCTAAAATATGCATGTTCCGGTGAATTGCCAGGTTGTTCGGACAGGGGCCAAGGATTTCTTTACGATCCCAAATTAAATGGCGAACTGGTTACCTGTGCGCAAATAAGACTCAGAATTAGAACAGAAAAAGGAGATACATACACGATATCAAAAAGTATGAACGTAACAGTTAGAAATAACAATCTTACATTCAAAAAAGTTGATCACTCTTTAAAACTGCAAAAGGTGGGGGAGAAAGACGAACAGATGGTATCGGGTAGATGTGTGGACGTGGATGTTTTTTTTACTGAAACATTTGGTGTTTCCAAGTCGATAATTAATAATGTAATTTTCTGCCACCAAGAAGATTCTCTTTGGCCTTTGGACGAAGGATCCAAGTTAAAGAAAAAGTTCGACGAAATTTTTGAAGTTACCAAATATCACAAATGTGCAGATCACATTCGCAAGAAAATTAAAGAAAGTGAACACCGAATTGATGTAATGAAAAACGATTTGTTTCGTTTGGAAGATAAAAACAAGGAGTGTGAGAGCAAACAGATAAGTTTAGTCGAAAAGGAAGAAAGATATGCAAAATACGCAACTGAAATAATGGAAAAAGAGGAAAAACTAGAACCCATCATGGCTCGTATTAGAGAAATATGCGAATTACAAAAGCATCTTACTCACTTTCATGAAGAAAAATCTGCGAAATTGTCTGAGAAAAAAATGATAATGCAACACATAGATAAACTTTTGAAAAATTTAAAAGGATACGAATTTAAGGGCTCGGAAGATGAGTTAAATAATGAAATTCAAAACTTCGATAGATATCGCCATGAAATCGATGACAAGTTAACGTCGCTTTCTAAAAAGAAATCAGAAATAGACATGCAAGAACATACTAATACTCAAAAAAAATCTAAGCTTTTAGCTGAGTTAGGAAAATTACAACAAGAGAAAAAAAATCACTTGGAAAAGATCATGAAACGAAAGGAACTACTTCAACAGATGGAAAACTTACTAAAGGTGAACATCATAAATGGCCAAAATGAAGACGATGCAGATGTTACAAATGCCAGTAATATAATAAAAAACGCAATCGAAAGGCTTCGAACCTCGTTAAAACAACTTTTCGTTGAAATAAACGAAAATGAAACTCTACTTCAAAACACCATAGATGAATGCAGAGATAAATGTAATAAAGTTAAGCACGATATAGAATCTAAAAACGGGCAAATAAGCGAAAACATCAAAAAGTTGCGCGAAAAGAAAAACCAATTGCAAGAATTATCATTTTCTGACGATCAGTTAGCAACATTAACTAATAAAATAGCATCTGTAGAGAAGGAACTGCAATCAGTGAAGGAAAAATTCGAAACGCAAAACGTATCTCAGTTCAGTATAGATAAAGAGAAATCCACCATTAAGAACTTAGAAGAAAAGTTGGAACAACTCGACGAAGAAATGAAAATTATGTTAAAGAATAGCATAACGGAAGCGGATATGGAAAGACGGCTGTTTGACATGAAAAAACAAGAAAATGAATTAATAAAGTTGAAAAACAAACATCATGATAATTTTGAAATAATTTTTTCTAATGAAATTCCACAACGAAACCTAAAAATTGCAGTTGGAGAGATAAGAACGAGTAATTCTAAAAAAGTGGCGGAAATAACTAGAAAAATTAACCAACAACAAAACATGTTGACTCGTAAAGAGGCCCAGTTAAAGTTCGCCCAGCAAAAACTTCAAGCTTTCGAAGACGAGATGATATCTTGTAGAGAGAAACTCGCCGCAGTTTGTAAAGACCAGACATATGAAAGAACAAAGGCGTACGTCACGATGGCCACCGAAAAATTACGCAAAGACAAAGGACAATTTTCTTCCGCAAAGATATTATACGAAAAATTTATAGAAGAGTTTGAAAATGACAAGTGTTGTCCTTTGTGCCGTTCGCAATTCGACAATAAGGAACAGGTGATGGCTGAAATCGTTTCGGATCTTAAACAGAAAATTAAAGAAATTCCCATGAGATTAAAAAAAGTAGAAGACGATCTCAAACAGAAAGAAAGTGAACTTGATAAGATCACCGAACTCGCATCCGTTAATGGTAAAATAAAAGAACTTTCCGAAAAGCAAATCCCATTAGCTAGTTTTGAGGTTGACGAGTTAACTGACGTTTGTGAACAACTTAGAGTGGAATTGGAAACTCTCAAAAACGATTTGGAAAGACCTCAACAACTTGAACTTGTTTGTAACGAGGTGCTTCCAGATGCCACACTTATGGACCAGATTAATTTAGAAATAGTTAGTTTGAAGTCCGCCATCGAAAATTTGCATTTACAAATCATCAAAACCGATTCGAATCGTACAAAGCAAGAGACGGAAACAGAAATTGAAAACGTAAAAATGGAGCTTGGAAATTCTCGACGAGTTTACGAAAACGCAATTAAAAAAATACAACTCTACAACAATCGTTGCCAAGAACTCCGCGAATCGAAAAGCGAATTTATTCAACAGCAGCTAAATATACAGAAACAGATTCAGGGAAAGCCCCAACTAGAGCAGCAACTGATAGACATTTCTACTGAGACAGATCAGTTAAAGAGCGAAATTAGAAGTCTGGAGGAGTCTCTGCCAGCGCTACAAAACGATCTTACACGCGCCGAAAAAGTTCAACAAGAGGAAAAAATAAAAAACAAAGAAAAAGTAGCCACAGTTCAAGACAGTTTGTATGAAAACGAAAAGTTATTTGAAAATATTGAAAAATTAACGATAGAAATTAATGAATACGTAAATAAAAACAAAGACGCTATTTTTGAAAAAATGCTGGATAGTTCGGCAAAACTCGAAGATCTCCTTCAAAATTTAAAAACGACCAAGTCAGAAATAGCCGATGAAATAAACGATTTGAATACGAAACGTTGCAATTTAGAACTCAAATTTCGCAATTTAACCGATAACTTAGATCTGATCGACAAACGAAAACGCCATTCGAGCCTCGACCAGGAAATAGAAGAGTTATCGCAAAAAATCGGAGACTTCGATGAAAAAACACTATTCGATGAGAAATTAAAACTTGAACGTAGCGGTGGTCGAATAAATCAAGAAATAAATAACTGTAAAGGAAAAAGCGACGAATTAAAGAATTCGATTGATGATTTAAAAGCAGAACTTGACAAACCTGATTTGAAATTAGCAAAACTCAATTACAGGTACAAATTATATGAAGTTGGAATCGAAGAGCAAATCGTCGAAGATTTGAAGCAGTTCCTAGTTGGATTTGAATTTTCCATTATGCATTTCCATCAGGAAAGAATGGAAGAAATCAATAAAACCATAAAAGATTACTGGCATTTGATCTATAAGGGCAATGATATAGACTATATCGAAATAAAGACAGAACAAGATGGAAAATCTACATCCAAGAGACGTGTTTACAATTATAAGGTTGTTCAAGTTAAAAACGATATAATGATGGAAATGAGAGGGAGATGTAGCGCAGGCCAAAAAGTTCTGGCCAGCATAATTATTCGATTAGCTTTGGCAGAAACATTCAGTCGTAAATGTGGCATACTGGCTTTAGATGAACCGACAACTAATTTGGACAGAACTAATATAAACGGTTTGTGCGAAGCTCTTATTACATTAGTTGAAACCAAAGCCGATGAAAAAAACTTCCAGTTATTAATAATAACACACGATGAAGAATTTATGAATGCACTCACTGCTATAGATAAGGTAGAATTCATTAATAGAGTCGAGAGAAATAAAGATGGACATTCCACTATTAAAATTGAACATTTATAGTTATTTGAAAATTTCGGTTCAACTATTGTTATAATAAAAATGCTAGGTTTTATAGGAATATATCTTTCGTACCTGTAATTCTGAAGAGGCTTCATGTTCTTTTCATTAATAAAATATTGATAATCACTAATAAGTTTTTACTCGTGCCACTTTTCCATTCAGTTTCATGTGAATTAATTGTTTTCCATAGCCTTTTTGAGTTCAATAGAGACAGTATTATTTTTCTGTGGATAACCTTACTTTATTTCTGAAGTCTATATCCATTTATATCATTGATATCTCGTCTTCTCATAACCTCGCCGTTATTGCTTAACGTTTTTCTGAAAAAAAGAAATAAATATAATAGTTAATGAGAATGTTGAAATGTACGTAAAAAATGGCTCTTTTATTTCGTAACAGATCGTTACTTGCAAAAAGATCGTTGCCTTCAAAAATCTTATCCAGAGACACTGGTTACATAGTTCTGTAAGTTAAATGTAGTCAATGTTATATTAACATAAGTTTTGAAATATTAATTTCAGGATTCCTGAGATAGGAGAGGATTTGCCCAAAAAGGGTTCATTATTGCAATCGAATGGTTTGCCGGAATTCAGTAATATTAGTGTAGAAAAATGTATGGCTGCAATCGGTGTTCAGGCTTTGGAGTTTGAAAAAGGCATAAAAGAAATTGAAAAACGATTAGAGCAACATCCTGACCCGGATGTGTTTATTCACATTTTTCAACCTCTAGATATACTAGGAGCACCTTTAGATGTGACATGGGGTCTTTCTAAAACATTGTATTTAGGAAATAACACATCTATGCCAACAAATAATTACTTGGCAATTCACGAACATGCTAAACGTGTGAGAGCATCAAAATTTAACTCTAAAATTATTTATGATTTATCAAAAAGAGACCTTGGTGATAAAAAAAGAACAAATGAAGAAACACGCATGGTAAAGAAATTTGTTCTTGAAGGCAAGTTAAATGGACTTGAATTAGATGAAAACAGGAAATATCAGCTAAGGGAAAATAGGAAAAACCTACTAGAAGAAATAGGCAAATTTAAAATCAAAATTGAAACTGCTACCAAACAATTCAAGCATGTAATAAATGATTTTTCAATTGTACGAGATTTCCCTGAAGACCTACTAAAGAATATGGCCGTTAATAGTGAGAAACCCAATGAAGGTCCCTGGGAAATAAAGCTGTTATCACATATTTATCCTCGCTTCATGGAACATTGTCCAGATAGAAATTTGCGATTTAATGCTTGGCTTGCATCAGTTACTGTAGGGGCTATCCATAGATCAAAAGATCTTGCAACTAGTGTACATGTTGAACAAATTCGGTTCTTAAGACGCGAACAAGCGAATATTTTAGGGTATGAGACATATGCTGATGTATCAATGGAAACCAAAATGGCAGCTAGCACTTCAAACATTAAAAGCCTCTTTAGAAATTTATTACAAGTTGCAAAACTCACCCAAGATGATGAGCTGAATAATTTGTACAAATTTGCTAAAGAAAGAGGGTTTGATGGGTCACAGATGGAATTGTGGGATATCCCCTATTGGAGCAGAAAGCAACGGAAAGCACTGACGAAATACAAAGATGAAGAAATAAGGGAATACTTCCCCCTCGAAACTGTCTTGAATGGCTTATTTAGAGTATGTGAGAAACTATTTGATATTCAAATTGCATTCCGACAAGGGATCTCCGTTTGGCACAAGGACGTCAAATATTATGACATTTTCGAAAAAAATTCTCGAGAACCGACGTCAGGATTTTACTTGGATCTATTTGCCAATAAAAATCATGAGAAACCTGCACTTCATATGGACAAGAACTGGATGGTAGCGATTCAAAACAGAAGTAAAATAGCGTCTACCATGCCGCTGGCTGCATTAATATTTAATTACCGTCCGATAGGATTGAACCAGCCTATCCTGCTTAGTTTTAAAGACGTCGAAACATTATTTAATAAGTTTGGACATGCTCTTCAACATCTTTTGACGCGTACCACTTATGCGGACGTAGCAGGAGTCTCAAATGTCGAATGGGACGTCGTTGAAACAAGCGGCCACGTTTTTTCTTACTTGCTTAACAACAGAAGTATTCTGAGAACCGTAAGCGGGCATTACGAAACAGGTGCCGTCATGCCAGATGACTTAGCTGATTCTATGTTCGAAAGTAGGAAATTAACAGCTGGGCTCGATCTTTGTCGGGATATGTACCTGTCTGCATTAGATATTGAACTGTATACAACTAAAGAGTACTGGCTCGATGTAGTGAAGCGTCTTTGGCCCGAATTTCGAAGCTTTCCCTTAGACAAGCTGGATTCTCACCCGTGCTCCTTTTCCCAGATTTTCTCTGAAGATTGGGCTGCATCATATTATTCTCATTTGTGGTCTCGTGTGATCGCCGCCGATATTTATAGCGCCTTTTATGAAGTCAGAAATGACGAGGAACAAATTAGAACAATAGGAAAAAGATTTAGAGACACTTATTTGGCTTTAGGTGGTAGCTACAGCCCCAACGAAGTGTTCAGAATGTTTAGAGGGCGGGATCCATCGCATAAGGCCTTATTACGACTTTTAGGAATAAAAAAAGACGGTCAAGTGCTGGTTAAATAATAAATCGTTATCTTGTATAAATAAATTTTGTAAAATCAGTTGATATCTGTGACTATTACTGTTAGATTAATTGTACAGTTTCAAATAAATTTAATTAAAAACTGTTTATATTTTAAACATTGTTTAATATTTAAAATAGTTTGTTTTCCTTTCTCCTAATCCAACTTGAATAGAAAACCATTGTAAAATGACCGTTTCTTAATTAAATTAATGAAAATAAATTTATTATTAAACGTCTTACCTTCAAACTGAGAAGAGCTTAAGTTACAATAAACAATTTTTGCTACGAACTAATCTGCGATTTCCGATTTTGCCATAAATAATTCTTCCAATTGTTCTACACTACTATTATCCTCATTCTGTTTTAAGATACACTCAGTATTATTTGTGCATTTTTTATCGGTGTTGTTTTCTTTCTTCATCTCATCCTTAAATTGCAACATAGCTTTTTCGATTTTCATCCTAATTTCCTCGTTATCAGATTGCATGTCTAAAGCTGCTTGCAGTTCTCCTATCCCTTCCCTATGCATTCCTATTTTACATAGGGAGTCGCCTCGACGCACTATGCAAGTTATTCTTTGTGCAAAATTTGAAGCTACTGGAGGTTTTAACAAATTTAAAGCATCCGAACAATCACGGACGCATTTTTGATAATGCTCTGGAATTAAACATCGAAATTAGTACAAAACCCACATAACAAGTGCACAAAAATAATTGCATGCAGTTGTGACTTATTGTAATTTTCATTGCGAGAGATTAAAAGTACAGCACAAACCTAATAAAAAATGAGCTTCGGACCTTCCAATGTATAAATCGACAAAATTTTCACTTAATTTAATGCCGAAAGTATAAGCGCTTATAGCTGCCAAATAATTTTTCGCTTTCATAAATTGATCGCCCTTGAATTTTAAATACGACGGGTTCCGTTCTTCTGGTCGTAAATCGTCACTAAAGAATCCAACCGTTCGACGAACCTCCACCTGTTTTCTTAACCATTCGTTTTCCTCCTCTAATTTTGATTCTCTACTGGGTGTTGGAAATTCTCTTCTGGTGAAAGTCACCGACAATGTCGACTGTTTTCGAGGGAGAGGAACTGACGATATTTCTGTGTTATTTGTTTCAGCTGGCTTTTTTCGAATAATCATTGATGGTTTAAGAAAACACTTGTTTTGGTACGAACAGTCACGTGCTGTTCCTTTTCTTTCTTCATTTTCTTCTTCTTCTTCTTCTTCTTCACTACTTGTTGATATCTCAGTTATTAGTACTCCACTTCGCCATTTTTCAACATCCCCCAATTCTTTATTTTTTTCGTGGTTTCTAATTTTTTCTATGAACTCCCTCTGTTTCGTATCTAATGATATTTGTTCCCTGACAGCGATCCTTTTCAGTTCGTGTTTTTTATTTTCTTTCTCTTCAACTTGTTTCTGAAACTGTTGGTGCGTTTCGGTTATTATATTTTTTTTTAATTCATTTTTTTCATGTTTAGGAAGATCTCTTTCGACAGTATCCCAAAGGCCATTGGTCGATTTCTGCAACTGAAAAACTACTTCGTCTTTAGTTATAGTGCAAACGCTTGATTTTACATCAATTTCGTGTAACAGAAATAATTCGAAGAAATGTTTTGCAAACGATACTTTTATATACCAAGGAGATGTAAATATGTCCGCTTTTGAAGCAATAACACCCTTCATGGGGACATACAAGGTAATCAAATTTTCAGATTGTTTCCACGTAAAGTTTTTTATGATTAAAGGCATTCTTTATTAATTTGTGAATCACATTTAACGTGTATGACATATGGAAATAGAACACAGACATTAAATCGTATTGATTTAATCGATTCAATTACCATGGTTTCCAAATTGTGCTAGCAGCGCTTTAATTGCAATTAGTTCTAAAACAAATGAATCTGATTAATTTTCGTATTTAATAGAATCAAAAGAAGATAAACAAATATCTACAAATGTTTCCTTTTTGACGCAACAAAATTTCAAATTGGTTTTTGCACAATAGAAAACTATTTAGAGTAGAAAATAAACATAATGTATTATTGTACTTATATTTTGGTATGTAATGTATGTACAAATAATACATTATAAGCTCCGAAAAGGTTCGTTCACTCAGTCACCAATTCATTTTACGTTTGTTTCGAAATAATAGCATTATTTACGTAATATACATGTACAAAAAATTAATTCATAAAAGTTTACGTTAAATAAATTATTTAAAGAATACAATACTTAATAGTAGACCGTAATATATTCTTTATTCTAATTTTATTTGACGAAATAAACAATTTAACTCGTTTGAAAAGAATTTTTCAATAGTAAGTTTAATAAATTAATAAATAATAAAGGTAATCTCAAAATTACGTTCAAATATGTTCTTCCTTGACCACATAAAAATACAATTCGTTCCTATCTTGTGTAAATATAAAATGGAATAAAATGAATTAAACTTATTAACAATAATTTTTGTTTGTATAAAGGTATGTGCGTCTAAATAGATTAGTTGTTTGCTCACCTAATACTTTGGAATTGAAGTCGGTGTTTGCTCAACGTTCAATAATTGGGTTAAAAATTCCACAAATTTCCAGTACATGCGATAAAACTCCGCAGGAGCACCACCTACATTTATTTTAAATTTTAACAATGCAGATAGGCAAAGCAGTCGAGATAAATAAATTAAATGTAAGATTTAAAGACGTCCGGATACGGGAAATACGCACAATTTCACTGCGACTATGGCACTTTCTACAACAGTTTCGAATTTCCTTCTGATCACCTTCAGCACATATACCTGTAAGTCTTTACTTTTTATTTTTACTAAAACATATTCAATAAATGTAAAGTTTGTTAATTAATAATGAATCGAAATGAATAATTTAAAAATAATATAGGTATGTAAATGATACTCAACGAATCTATCACATTTTGAATTCCAATGCCTTGCTATTACTTCTTCTCTGCATGTTTCATATTGATGACGGGATTCATCCTGATCCTTCTTTCTTACTGCACATTTCTAATGAATTAATTTGAAGGCATAAAATTATTGTTGATATCTTTTACAGTTGCTAGCGATGAACGTATAGTGGGAGGTAACAACGCTAAAGAGGGAGAGTACCCTTATCAAGTATCATTGCGACAAAGAGGCTTTCATACGTGTGGAGGTTCGTTAATCAAAGAAAACTGGGTTCTTACTGCTGCACATTGCGTTAGCGGGTACATACTTATTTTCAATAACATTTAATTAGTATAAAACTAATTTCGCACAATTATGTGACACAATATAAAGGTTTTACGATTCAGTTATTTGCTCTAAATTCTGCAAGAATTACACTTTTTAAATATGTATTTCAACATTAAAAGGAATTGTTATTGTTTTTATCAGTTTACAGCCAGACAATATGTACCTGATGGCAGGAAGTATTCGTTTAAATTCCGGAGGAGAAAAACTGGACGTCAAAAAAATCGTAGTACACCCGAAATGGTCGTCGTCAAATATATCTGATGACATTGCTTTGATTAAATTGAAAAGTCCGGTCACATTTAACAGCAAAATACGGGCAATTGGACTTCCTGAAGAAGACACCGAACCAGGAACCGATCTTATATTAACAGGATGGGGAAAAACATCGGTGAAATTAAATTAATTCTGCATTATTAATTAACGAAAGTATTAATGTTTTAGCATCCGGGAAAACCGCCGAACGATCTGCAAATGATAAGATTAATTTCTATTAGTAATGAAGAATGTACAACAAAAGAATCGAATGTGCCAGCAGTCCGCCCAAGTAATATATGCACTTTTACAAAAGCTGGAGAAGGAGCCTGTCACGTAAATATTATTACTGCTTATAATTTAGAATAATTCTGAAAATTATGTAAAAATTAAAGGGCGACTCGGGAGGTCCTTTAGTTCGCGGTGACTATCAAGTTGGAGTTGTTTCTTGGGGAATACCATGCGCACGAGGTAAACCCGACGTCTTCACCAGGGTCTACTATTATTTAGATTGGATAAAAAAGAATATTGAACATGACAATAACATAAAGGAATAATGACAACATTTCAAATAACGAAATAACTTAAGTTTTACAGTGTAATAGTGTTCAGTTAAGATAAATAACATTTTATGCCTTTTCATTATAAGGAAAAAGGTAAAATTATCTAGCAATACCCGATTATCACCTCTTTTATTCAGCAGAGCTAAGCTTGCTCATATAAACGTAAATATTAAGCAAAATTATGTTTATGTAAATATCAGCATGTATGTAGATATAAAATATAATTAATACTGCTATAATGGTTAACTTTCCATTTTTTTCATTTTATGAGAGACAATAATGCATGTTTATAATCTCCAGATGTTTCGCCCTGCTAAAACGTGAATAAAAAAAATCCGCAGTAAGTAAATATTAATTTTCGACTTACGCTTATGAAACTGGACAATGTCTTGTCGTAAATTCTTTCAAATTCCCTCTTTATATCTTCCAGGTCTATTTCAGATCGGCTTACTATTACACGAACGAGGGTGTTATCATCTGTACCAATTCCTTTCATAGATTCATATAGGCGCTTTGCAAAATATGCAGGAGGGCTTTGTACACACTCCACTAAAATACAGTGCATTAATATTTACTATTACCAGTCTGTTTCAGGAATTTACACAAATTTACCTATAGCTAGAAGAGCATCTAAGAATTCCCCGCTTAGTTCATGTCTAAGGGCTTGTTCTATTGTATTCCCTGATACTTCTTTATATTCCTCAAATATTCTTCTTAACTGATTAAAATTCTCGTGAGCAAGTATTCTGCTAAATGTGCTCTCATCACTTCCGAATTTTCCCTCACCTGAACCATACAGTTCGTCAGCTTGTTGCCGTGCCTTTTCAGGATCAACCTCATTACTACTATCACGCACGCCAGTTAAAATCAATGTTAAAAGTCGACGAAGATCACCAGAAGTTTCGCTGCACATTTGTTCTACTAATGGACGGTCAAACACTACACAATGACAAATTAATTATATTAGAAAAAAATTCAAAATATTATAGCAAAACATACATCTTTCATATGTTTCAACCAATTGAGTAATTTCGTCGTTATTTCTGGAGCAAATAATTTCAATTAAAGTGGCATCTTCAGTTCCCATGCCCTCCATTGCTTTATGCAACTGTTTGCATAAATATTCGTCCGGAGGCAGACACAAGGCCACAATGACGTCTTCGAAATTTCCTCCAAGTTCACTTTTCAGATCTTCAATTAAGTTCTATTGGAAAATAAACGCATAACATGCAAAGTATGTTTAAAAAATTAAATACTATTAATCCAATACAGAATGACTATACAAATTAGACAGGAGCATGGTCTTTTTTCTATTTTGAATTAAATTTAGTAGGCTGTCAATATTTACAAAGAAATGTATTTATTTAGAATTTATATTTTCTACGGAAATAAATCCCTTTTACATTTTTACTTGATCCTTAAATAAAACTAATATTTATTTATTAATAATGCTATTCTATGTTATGTTGTAATAAAGTGCGAATTGTCTCTTACTCTTTCAAGATTTTCATCAAAATACTTGGCAATTTGCAATCTCTGGGAATTTGATCTATTAGTAAGGATTTCAATTATTTTATCTTCATCAGTACCCAAGCCTTTCATAGCAGCACGAAGATTTTCAGCATCTTCAGTAACATTAAAATTTCTTGCAGGCTCTACTGTTGGATGACCCTAAAACATTGAATATTTCAATAGATTTAGTATTACATATTACAGAGTGGTAATTCTTCTATATCAATAATAACTGCATAAATGTGAATAAACCAAACTCTTGGATTCATGTAATTTTTATCCCTCACAGGATTTACAATGGAAACAGCTCGGTAAATAATAAACAAATAATAATTTTTCAAGAAAACAAACAACTTACATCACTTCTTATTGGAGTTAATAATAATAATATTTAGTGAATTACCTTTGTGGTAAATGTTTAAAAGGGCTGTTTACATCACAATCGTAATAATACAAAACTTAACACTAACTTATTCATAACAAATATATACAAAAAGCAAACACAGTGTATCTTACCATTTTGCAATTATAATTTGTAATACTCCCTCAGCAACAAGCAAACTATATTACATTAACACTAGGTAGTGGTAATGAACTGAATTTTCCTATTTTTCCAAATATTGTACGTATCACGACAGAAATCTTATATATTGCAGGCCACACCTCAACCGCAAACCTTTAAAAAGCCCGTAAACAAAGTATAAATCGTGAGTAGTAAACAAACAAAAGTCACAAAAGTTACATATACAAATGGAAATAAATGAAACCTACCCACATAAGGCACAACTAACACAATGTTACAAGAAATACATCCATATCCTCGTTCATTAGCATCAACAGGTATATTATTAAATAAATTTAGGTTTAATCATGGCCATAGATAATATCATGGCTTTAATAAATGTTCAAATAGATGTAAATTAACGGACACGAACACCATAGATTTATGAAATCATAGAGAAGGGAAATATATATTTTTCACTGATATTTTTAGACAAATCAGCAATGACATATAGCTATGTCATTGTTGTTATTACAGGTCGCAGTGATTTAATAACTCACAGAAAACACCAGTGGCGTAACAACAAAAAATACATTAAAAAATCAAAAAACGTTAATCTCAAATAAAAGAAAAGGTCTTTTACATATTTGATATTTGCCAAAAGTATCATAACATCACAAACATTTATATAATTTGTGCAGTTCAGGTAATGTGGTCTAAATCTTACACTTAAGCTTTTTTAAGTGCAAATACATTCTACATAAACGAATGATTCAAAAACAAATATTTCCCATACTCCTGGATCTTAATTGATGAGTGCCAGTAAAGCCTTCTTGTAATTTCCAGTAGTTTCACCCTGCTAAGAAAGTTACGTATACTTCTCAATGATATTATATATCATGAATAATATATGTGCTTACACATAAGTAGCTCGACAACGTTTTATCGTATATTCTTTCAAACTCTTCTTTAATATTCCCTAAATCGATCTCTGATCTATTAATAATAATTCGTATCAGCGTTGCATCGTCTGTTCCCATTCCTGACATGGCTTCGTGAAGTCTTTTTGCAAAATAATTAGGCGTACTTTGAACAGATTCAACTTAAATGTGTAATAAATTGCATATAATCATACATATGAAAGAAGGTACCTTTACGAACCTATAGCCAGTAATGCTTCCAAATAATCACCGTCTAACTCGTGTTTAAGCGCTTGCTCTATGGTATTCCCCGAAACATCTTTATATTCGTCAAAAATTGCCTGAAGTTGATCATAATTTTCGTGGGCTAAAATTTTACCGAAGACGCTCTCTTCAGTTCCTAATTTCCCTTCTCCAGATGCATACAATTCTTCCGCTTGTTCTCTGGCTCTGGATCGATCCATTTCATTGCTCTTGTCTCTTGCACCTGTTACAATCAAGGTCAATAGCCTCCTTAGGTCACCTGATGTTTCACTACACATGTGTTCGGCTAGTGGTCGACCGTAAACTACGACAAAAATTTATGAAATAGACCTCGTACGTGGCTCTTTATTGATTATAATAAAAATGTTTTTACATAAAGTAGAATAGATAAAGGTCACGAGGAAAATATGTGTTAAATGCTGATCCTACGTAGAAAATGAACAAATCAATATATGTATAAATTATGTTAGCCATCTAATTATTTTATTGAACTTACGATTTTCATAAGTTTCGACAAGTTCTTGTATTTCGTTTGCGTTTCGAGAACATAGAATTTCGATAAGAGTTAGATCTTCAGTTCCCATGCCTTCCATTGATTTATTTAAATGTCTACATAAGTAGACATTGGGTTCAAGGCATAGTCCCGTTACTACTTCTTCAAAATGACCTCCCAGTTCGCCTTTTAAGTCTTCAACCAGATCCTTAACCATATCAAATATTAAAAAATATTCATTCAGTAAAAATTAATAAATACCCTTTCCAGTACTTCGCTGAAATATTTGGCAATTTCTTGCCTTTGAGCATTTGATTTTGTTGTAAGAATATTAATAATGATGTCTTCATCGGTGCCCAACCCTTTCATAGCAGCCCTTAACATTTCTGCATCTTCAGACGCGTTAAAATAGCTGGCAGGATATACCGTTGGTTTTTTCTAATTAAATAAATAGAATTATCTGTGAAAATCTATCATTACTTTTTAACTATAAATACATTAAAATGTTAGTTTTGTACTATTATATACGAAATACTTACTGAATAGTTTGCCATTCTCTATTTTAAGGCGCACGATGTTTGAAACACCTCCCTATTTTAACTTTTATAAAGCGTCTGCAAGAATGAATCACCTGTTAATTAATTAAAAATGACGTAATCAAAACGTAGCAAATCGTGATAGTATGTTTAATTAACTTGAAGTAAAGCAAAGTTGTATCCAGTACGTAATGCTATTTCGGGCATCCCTTTTTACGTAATTGAATTCTGCGTCATATGGGTTGCCTAACTGATTTAGTCCCAACCATTTCTTATTAAGCTTAATAATAAATGTTTCGAAAAATAACAATGACTTTTTTGAATCTAAGTGCAAAAATAATATACAATAGAAGAGTATTATTAAACATATCTTTACGCTTATTACTTAATAAGACATTAGGTTTATGTAAGGGGGTAATGTTAAAATACTTGTTTTACTTGTATCTAAATGAAAGATAAGGGAAATGAAAATATTTATTAATTAGATCTTAACAAATTAAATAGAAAAGTGCGATCATTTTTAACAAAATGGTATTTATTACGAATTATTGCATTTTCTATTTCGTGTAGTATACTCGAACACTACTACAATATTCTATGATATTTGATTTTAATCTATGGCGATCAGTTCTATTCATTGAACTAGACTACAGCTTCAATGGACTACAGTTCCCCTCTACTTCAATGGTTCTATTCTAACCGACGAATCTATGGTTCGAGTCTTATCTACGGTGCCAATTATAGTTTCCATAGATTAAGATAAGTTCTAAGATGCAATTGTTCCACAATCATACCAATCAGATATCAAGTATATCTGTAATGTCAAACCGGTCAAACCTCAAAAGGAATTTAAGTTCACTAGTAAATAGTAACAAAGTAATGTTTAATTTATCTAATACAGTAGCACTTATAACAGGCGGAGCCTCTGGAATAGGACTTGCTACCGCAAAGACCTTTTTAAAGGAAAACATTAAGGTTATTTAGACATACTTAACAATACGATAGCATAAGTAGATCAATTTTTACTGTTCCTTATTTTAGGGCTTATGTATAGTAGACATAAATGAGAATCTCGGTCAGATAGCTCTGAATGAACTTATAAAATCTTTTGGCGATAGGGTGATATTTGTAAAAGCTGATACATCAAATAGAAGCCAATTTGATGGTGTGTTGTAAGAAAAGTTTATTAGTAAATTATATCACTGTCAAATGAACCAAATTCTCTGTCGAGATTTTAGTTGGAATTATTATTACAGAAGCTTTCCGAATAACCATAGATAGTTTTGGAAGTTTGGACGTGGTTTTTAATAATGCAGGAATTTTTGATGATAAACATTGGGAAAAAGAAATTTCAATTAATATAGTTCGTATTTTAGGGAAGTACTAATGTAATAAGTCTTAACTTTATTTTGTTGTGTTTCATAATAGTGTGGTACACTTCATGGTACTATGCTCGCTGTAGACGAATATCTACCAAAGTACAAAAGTGGAAATGAGGCTGTTGTAGTAAATATGTCTTCTATATGCGGTTTGGATGCTTTTGGCTGTGCTCCAGTCTACACTGCTACTAAGCATGCTATTATTGGCTTAAGTCGCTCTTTTGGAAAAGAAAGTCATTATAATAGAACTAAAGTAAGAGTTATAACCATATGTCCTGGCACTACGGATACTCCCATGACTGTGGGAGGTTTGGATAGAAATTTAGGGCCTGCTTACAGGGACTTGGAGACCGAGTTTGATCAATATCCAAGACAAAGGTTGTTTGAAAACATTTTACAATAGTAAATGATGATTTAAAAAATAACCAAGAATTTTTCTGTTAATCAGTGCAGATGTTGCTGCAGATGCTGTTAAAACATTGATAGGAACTGCGTCGACTGGTTCAGTGTGGGTTATTGAAGGAGGTGACTTATACGAGGTTGAAATACTAGAGAGACAAAGTCGAAGAAGAAAATGAATATACTTGTAAGAAAAAACTATTTTTTTTTATACTCAGGGAAAATGCAGCATCTTTGAGTAATAATGATCTTATTACTTAACTAGTTACATGTACTTTTACAACAGTAAGGCAGAAACAATTGGAAAATCTTTTATTAATGTATAAACAGCTTACCGAATACAATGAAATCAGCTAATTCTTATTGTTTTATTCCAAAATAATGCGTTTTCTCAAATACAAATAAAATAGGTACTACTGTGAAAAAATAAATTACAAATACATTAAAATCTACTTGCGGTTTCCCCCTCATTAAGACAAGAAGGTACACAAAAAAAAGTCAGTCATATATCACTAAAAGAAAAAAACGTGTATACATTTCATTCTGAGAAAAAAAGAAAATAGTTATTCCAAATGGAGTTGAACAATTTCTTCAATTATTGAGAAATTACATAAAAAAAAACTTAAAGCAAACTATCGGCTTTTTCTTCATATCCGACCATTTTATACAATATAAAATAAAATTATTATCACCTTATTTCTTATTTCAAGTAAATGTAAGGTAAATAATTAAATGTTAATAATCGCAATACTGACAGCAGGAAAATACGGCGACTAAATTAACGAAAACTCAAAGAATACAAAAAGAAATAAAAAACAGACTACAGAATTTTTCGTAAGTTCACCGTTTTCAGGCCCCATTAAAAAAACGCGTTTTTTCTTTTTTAGTACTTTCATCACTTTAATTAAGGATGATCATTATGCTTCCTGCCCCAGTACGTAATCATCCTTTAGTTTTGTCATTATTTATCAGATCCTTTTAATTTCCTAAAAGATACTTTAATTGAATAAAACAAACACCAATAAATACATTAGTTAACATGAGGATAATTGTTCAGTATATATTTATTCGATCTTAAAAGTTATAATGAATTAAGAATAAACTTACCAGCTGCTGCAGGCACAGGGGCCGGCGGTACCGAAGTCTGATTTCCACTTTCATTAGAGGCTCCGTTGTTTGTCACAGACTGTTGCTGTGGTTGCGACTGTTGAGAGGACTGTTGATGTAACTGTTGCGTTTGAGGCGTGCTTTCCACCAGATTTGAAGGTGGTACTGAAGTTGTGGATGTCCTCGACGTCACACCGTTATTATCCCGGTTCTGCAAGTGCTGGGGCTGTTGTTTTCGCTGTGCCATAGGATTTCTGTAACCACCGCGATACGAACCTCGAAACCCTCGATTATAGTAACCTCCGCCAATGCCTCCACCACCTCCACGACCTCGGAAATAATTACTATAAAAAAACATAGTTTCAAGGTAGAAATAGTCGAATGTGGTAAATAACTAATTAAACTAAAATAGTCTACTTAACGCAGTTTAAGATCTCAATAATAGGAAAGCGTAATATTTGTACTCATAATAATACACACTTGTTACGCCTCGTTGAAGCCACACCGAATGTTTCCGAATTAAGTTTGCGTTCAGCACGCCAGTCGGTCCTTTGAGATCGTCCCTTAGACCGCTCAACCGCTTCGCATGATATGTTATCAAAAAATGAGACGGCTTTGTTATAATAAACAGTATGTGAATCATCTTCTTGTTCTCCTTCGCCCGCGCCTGTCTCGTTCCCGGAGTCATCTTTTTTTTCTGCGTCTCCGTTAACTACGTCCTTTATTTTAAGCTGAAAAATACGTTATTAGAAACATCAGAAAAGAATACCAAAAAAGAACATTTAATCAATAGAAATGCAATAAAGCAATAATAATTATTCAAAATATAAAATTCACACCTTTTCTAATTGGCTTTTAAGTTCCTCGAACTGTGTGTTAGCCTGTTCAAAATCGTAATCGTTTTCAAACTTAAGCGTGCTTTTAGGTTTTGCTGTGCCGCCAAGACCCCCTTGTTGTTGTTGTTGTTGTTGTTGTTGCTGCTGCTGCTGTTGGTGGTTTGATTGTACATTACGATGATAATTATTTTGAGTACCAGCTCGCGGACGACCCCGAGGTCTTTGTTGCATCGACCCCCTTGGCTGTTGCTGCATTTGGCCGGCCCATCCTTGCTGCTGTTGCTGTTGTTGTCTGTGGCCCTGATTCTGTGACGGTCCTCGATTTTGCAATGGAACTGCTCTATTTTGGGATCTCTGATGGTGTTGTTGTTGTTGTTGATGATGATCCTAGACAAATAAAAAAAAAATGGTTTACTTTAACTGAAACACAATCCTAACAGCAAATCGTAATTATTTTATACCTGATGTGAACTGGTTTCACCTCTGGAGTCCTTTCGAGGTCTTTGTTGGTTTCGATGTGTAGGAGGTTGAATAGGTTTAACAGTCTTCTTGTCGTCCTTTCTGGCGCTGCCAGTTTGAACACTCTGATCGGCCGTGGGTGATTTACGGGAACTGAGACTGGCAGGAGTGGTACTACGAGATCCGCCCCCGATCAAGTCTAAAACAGAAGCTACAACTCTGAGACTTAAAGAAATTCAAAAGGAATTCGGGTCCCAAATGCAACCATACAAAAAGATAAAGCCAAGTTATGTCAATTACTGCTGTTGTATTTTTATTTAAACTAAAACTAAAATAAACAAAATTCGCATAACATAAAAACATTCATCACCCATTCTTGTACACTTTTGAAAATGAAAGAAAAATCGTTTTAAAATAACTACTACATTAAAATATATTCCTTGTTTACTCATATGAATTAATTTAAAAAATTGGAATGAAAAATATGTTTTTCAATCAAAACGTAAATGTGGATAATTCAAATTCTATTGCAAGTGGCATGACAAACTACAGTAATAGGGGAAGTGCAAATAAAATAATATTACAAAAAATACTATCAGAAAGGTGGGAGGACGTCAAGACGTCAATCTTTTTATACAGAGTCTTAAAAACACTATACATATAAAAAACAAGAAATGAAAAAGAGTACCTGCAAAAGAAAAAAAACGGAGTTATAATGTGCTTGCAAGAATCCTAAATTAAACAACTCATACAAACTTCAAGCAATATAAGGTTACCTACAAGAATTTGAAGAAGTAACTACTTCAGCAAATAAGTACTATAAAAAATCAGAAAGCAATAATTAAAATGTAACAATAGCAATAAGCAAAAGCAGAAGTTAAAACAAAAGCCTAAGATTGTGCAGACTGGTCTGTAGTTTACCATGTTCACTTTGTCGCGGGGGCTCAATAGGGGCACCGGGAGTGAATTCTGGCGTAATTAACTCACTTGGTTTACCAGTAGATGCAGCTGCAGTCTGTATACCCCTAAAGTCTCTGTTCATCCCAGGAGCCAGATTACCTGGCGCCATTGCACCTATTATACCCATTCCACTGTATCCAGATCCAAACTGTCCCATCTGAGGACCCATGGGCCCCAATACTGGGTGAGAAAAGCTCTGAGATTGAAACTGTTGTTGTCCCAGGGATGGAGGAACAGATAATTGCATAATTGCAGGATCATTTGGTAGAGAAGGAGCATTGTTGATAACTCGAATGTCCTTGATATCTGAGCCTCTGAATAAAATATAGTCATAAACCTGATTTTGAGCGGGTACTGGATATTGCGTGTCTCTGTCTTCTGTGCCAAATGACCTCACTAAAAAATATTTCACCTGTACATTTTAGAACTCAGTTATTTTGTGTATTTTCTAAAAGTATAAAGTAAAAACCATACAAAATACACCTTATATATATATATATATTAAGCATTTATATATTTTCTTTTTTTTTCTTAATTAACCATTCGTAGCTACTCTTATACAAAACATTAAAAAATTACCCTTTTACTCGATACGTGAAATTATTTATAAATTTTATCAAAATCTGCCTTTTGCAGATAGGCTTTGAAAACTAAATTTTGAAAATGATGGAAAAACTTACCCGATGCTAAAGCAATTGTACATTCTTGAGGATCAACGGTAAATAAACGGCCTTCGTATCTAATATCAGCTTTAGATATAAGGCTAATTTTGGAGCCAAGCTCCGGCATTCCAGTACCCATTATGAAATCTGCTAAACTTCTTCCGGATGGACTAGATGTTTACAGATTGAACTGCAAAACTCAATAAATTTTGACCATCAGTTACTAAATGGCGTTTACTCGAATCAGCTGAAAGAAGTGACGTATGACGTTCCGATGACGTTTTCTACTTTTCACGTGTTGCCATCATCACAATCAAAAATACCATAAAAAACTTTATGTATTAAAAATCCCTACACAACCAATTTTGATTACGTAAACTGTCAAGTTAAATGGATAAACTAACATTTTTTAATGCCATTTTAACGATTATCTATTAAAATAATATAATTTAAAAACAAAGGTGTTGCGCGAATGTTTTTCTTTGTGCATTTTACTTAGTAAATCGTTTTTACTACCGGTTAGTATATTTGCAAACTGATTTTTTATGCAACATGGCATCCAGGGTAGGCAGGTTTTACGGCGCTGGTCTTTTGAAGTCTAATAATGGAGTTATAGGTCAGGTACGTTATAACAGAATAACTTTTCCTAAAAAAACAAATTCATCTAATGCACATACCTGTATTGGATTGAATATTTGTAAAAGGTTTATATAAAAACTTGTTTGTGCTGAAGGATACTTAACAATAAAGGTAATTAAATCACGACAGATATACAACGTTATGATATCTTTCTAATTACATTTTTTTTTCTAAACGAATAACTCATTATGTGATTGTACTCGTTACATAATGTTTTACCGTTTAAGGTTATGTTTTTTTTTACAGATATGCAAATTTGCTACTGCCCAAGAAAAGTCCAGTGGGAGAAAAAAGGTATATCAAATTTGGATTTTAAAAGGCATGAAATGACATGAGTAACTTAATTTTTAGATATTATCCACATTAGGAGTAATAACAGGTGGTTTGGGGGCTCTATTATTTTCACTTGATCAATCTGTTAAGGCCTCAGACTTAGAATTGCATCCCCCTAAAAATCCTTGGAGCCATAAAGGTTTATTTAATGCCTTAGATCACCAAAGGCATGTTCTCTTAACTATCCTTTGAAACCAAATACTAATGAGCATTTTTGTAGTATTCGTCGTGGTTATGAAGTATACAAACAAGTGTGTGCAGCTTGCCATTCTTTAAAATATGTGGCATATCGTGACCTGGTAGGTGTAACTCACACCGAAGAAGAGGCAAAAGCTGAAGCAGAACAAGTTCAAGTTACAGATGGTCCAGATGACCAAGGTAACATGTTCCAAAGGCCGGGAAAGCTTTCTGACTACATGCCAAGTCCTTATCCAAATCCAGAGGCTGCCAGAGCTGCTAACAATGGTGCTTTTCCTCCTGATCTAAGCTACATCGTTGGAGCACGTCATGGGGGTAAAATATACTATAATATTTTGACTGAAGTATTTTTGTATTGTGATTCTTTTAGGTGAAGATTATATTTTCGCTCTGTTGACGGGCTACACCGAAGCTCCGGCCGGTGTAAATCTTCGCGAAGGTCAATATTATAATCCCTATTTTCCCGGTGGAGCTTTAGCCATGGGTCAGTTACTTTTTAATGAATCTGCGGAGTATGAAGACGGTACTCCTCCAACTGCCAGTCAGCTGGCAAAAGACATATGTACGTTCCTAAAATGGACCGCTGAACCGGAGCATGACGATAGGAAAAGAATGATTATCAAGATGTTGGGTATATTCTCCCTTCTATTTGTCACCAGTTACTACTATAAACGGCACAAGTGGATGACAATTAAAACTCGTAAGATAGAGTACAGACCAAAAAATTAAAACAATGGGACAACTATTGTCAGTAGCCAATTCACTCCGAATATTAGCTTGATGTGTACCGCGTTTTCTGTTGAGTAGAGGAGTCATCTACACATGGAGAAAAGCAGATCCGTTGTAAGACTTGTTTTCTTCCTCCTATGTACATAATTTCAGCAGATTTTACAGTCATTTTAATTTTATTTATGTGTTTATTAATTAAGAGCCCCCTCGTTATCAATAAATCTTGCGACGTTAACGTTTCGCTATTTCAAATGTGATTTTGGTAAACTGATTATATACTTAAATAAACTGAAATAAATAAAACGTTCAGAAATAGTGTTTAATAAATAAGTGAATAAACAATGCAGACAAGGCGCGAAAAAGTTTTCCATAAGCATAAAATGTATCTGAATACATCTGGTTTAATAATAAATAAATAGAAATCAATTTCTCTTTAAAAAGTGCATTGTTACGTTTGGGTTTATGTAGCCATTTTCCTTTTATTATTATTATTCGTTGGTCAAACGCATGATGGTGGTGTTCATAGACATATATTAATGGACGCATAGACATATATAAAGGACGTGCCTTAGCCGTATGTCGTTGTAATAATTTCTTGGCTCGAAAAGTGAGGGAGATGGCGTATGGTTTCGGACTAGTGCTATCTTTTTCATGACACGCTTACGCCTAGACTGCTAAATTTTAAAGTAGCTAAAGTATATATTCTATGTCTAAATCTAAACAACTACACCATAGATAATTACGACTATCCATAGACTCTATATCTATGCAACTATCAAACAAAAACAAATACTCGGCTATGGCTATAGACATATATTAATGGACGTGCCTTAGCCGTATGTCGTTGTAATAATTTCTTGTCTCGAAAAGTGATGGAGATGCCGTAATGGTTTCGGAGTAGTGTTATCTCTTTCATGACACGCTTACGCACTCTGATAAGAGAGATGGACATTGTCCGAAACTTCGTTCCATCTCTTTTTTTTATTGTACCACAATTCTGACCGCTAAGGCATGTCCATTAATTAACGTTGATGGCTATGACCATAGACATATATTAATGGCGTGCCTTAGCCGTATGTCGTTTAAATAATTTCTTGGCTCGAAAAGTAAGGGAGATGACGTATGATTTCGGAGTAGTGCTATCTCTTTCATAACACGGCAACGCACTATCGTGAGAGAGATGGATATTGTCCGAAACTACGTTCCATCTCTTTCTTATGATGTACCACAATTCTGTCCGCTAAGGCATGTCCATTAGTAAACGTCGATGGCTATGACAACGTGCTATTGATACTATCATAGATAAGAAAGACGTTTAAAACAAAAAATGGTACACAATGCTACCAACATATTTTTATTATTATTATTTATAATTAAGATAATTATAATAATTTGTTACTTTTGTAATATTTATTTATTTATTTATTTGTCACGTGGGCTAATTTCGATTTAATAATTATTCAATGACTATATATCCATGTATCCATACATATCATATACATATGTAAATCTATGATTGACTAGTTAAAATGGCGTTGGTTAGGTTCTTTATAATTGTTTACTAATGTTTATTTTTATAAGAGATAAAAAGCAATAATTACATAAAGTTTGTTTGGTTTCTTAAATTAAACAGTTATTTGCATATGTTTCAACTCCTTTCTTTAAATTTAATCAAACATGTAAGATAAAGCTAAAGTTTGTTGATGCCAAGGAAATACAAATTAGAAAGTAACACGATGAGCACCAACAGGATGAATAAACGGAATAGTAGTGAATGTGAAAATAAAAGGGGTTTTGTGTTGAACAAATCTGCTGTGTCTAATTTAATTTTGGAGATAAATGAACTAATAAAAAAGGCTAATATCGATGAGCAACTTAGCAATGTAAGTGGATTTACTGTGTATCTTAAGAGCATTGTGTTATTGTTTATTTGTTACCTATATCATCTACATAGGGTTCCTAGATATTTTTTTTTCAGTTTGTATAAAGTTGTTTATTAACTGTATTAAATATATATTATTTTAGCTGCTGTAATAATTTAAATACAAAAGATTATTGTCTTTCGCACATGACAATATTTTTTTTAAATTATTTGAGTAAATTGAAAAACTAATTTCCTTTGATATTATAGATTCTGGATAAATTCTTAAATAACCTTAAAGAATCAGAAAAATATTTGGAAAATGGCATATTTACTATAAACTTTCAAGAAGCCAGTTTATTACTGGAAAAAAGTTGTGTTTTATATGGAAAAAAGGTGGACATTCTATGGAATGATGTAAAGGAAAATTTACAGAGATGGCATTCATTCAACAAGTCAGTATTTGATCTTTAACCACTCTTCATAAAGAAAATGAATTGATATAACTTTTTTTTAGATCAAAAAATATTTCTGATGAAAAGGTGTTACATGAAACAATGAATCGGTTCAGAGGACACAAAACTGTTCTCCAGCAAGTTAATTCAAAGAACTTCAGTTTTAATCACAGTAGTCTTTTAGAAGAGGCAGGGAACGTTCCCAATTTACCCCAGATTGTTGGCAGTGCTTGTAAAACTTTGGAGAATTTATGGTCTGAGGCAACTCAATCCAGTTTGAAACTTAAAAGGTTAAGGGCTAAGGTGTTATAAAATAAATATATATTTGCCAATAGTGTTTTAAATATTTATTATTTTGCAGGTGGCTCCATTAGTCTTCACACATATTAAGAAGACGCCTATTTACTATGAAAATGGCGATAAAAAGTTGTGTAATTACCACGATCTCTGTCTAAATCTTTTTGAGGCTGGTTATATGTTGCATGATGATAAGACGACTCAGCTCTACAATTTGCGGCACTTAATTGACGATATTCTTCAATCCTTTCTTGCACAACATGGGATCCCCTACACAAAACTAGCTGAATGTAATATGTGGCCGGATTTTAAAAAGTATCTCCAACTGAATATAACTAAACGTCTCCGAATTCTCTTAAAAAAACAGCGAGAACGCATGAATGGTGGTTGGGACAGAAAACGACCTTTGATTGCTCAGAGGCCACCGGTAGATTTCTCGATGCTTCATGTTTTCGGAGAATTTCAAGTTAGCGTTGTCGCAACCGAAGAAGGTAGTGCGGATGAGGAAATAACGGAAGTCTTAGAAACAAACGGTGAATCCGACGTAGGGATGTTGCCGGCAAGTCCCGTAAAAAGTTATGCATCCCGAAGGACATCCGAGATGCACAGCGAAGCTGATTCAGCTTTTCATGATGGCTCATTTGAAGACGATGAAGAACGGAATGTTCGAAGCAAACACGAAGAATCTTATAAAGGAAGTACGGCCACGGAATCTAGAAAAACCACAATCAGTTCAGATGACAGAGGTTATTTCGAGGATTCTTTAAGAGCAAGAACGCCTGGGAATGACACAGATTGTATTAATCACAGCTATTTAAGGGAAAATGCGGTTTCAAGAGAAAGTTGGATGAATAATAATGAAGAGATGGAAGTTTTTCAAGAGTTTGGTATTTACGACAATTCCGCGGGTGAGCAGGAAAGTGAACAATTGATCGATGATGGTCACAGTTTTCCAGATAAATATGATGACACATCGTCTAACATCGTAGAAGAAAAGCTTTTGTACCAACCTGAAGATGTTTTGCAGCAAAAAAAGAGGAAGGTAAAGGAAATTTCTAAAAAATGCAAATACGATGTTTTTAATAAAACATAACTTTCTTGTAATAATCGATATTAGTCACATTTTCATTCATAAGCTGTTAAACTTAATTAGTTTTCTTAAAAACGATTATCAATTTTTGAGAAAAATAAATAGACTTAAGAAAATGCAAATACAACTTATTGAATTGTATGTCTAGAGAAAACGAAACGATACCGAAGTTGACAGTGACGTTGCACCAAAAAGAAGGGATCTTATGAGAATCTTGATGACAGAAGAAGATAAGATATTGACCGTTCCTTTAATTACACAAGAGANAAGCGGCACATTGGCAATTTGAGGTGAATTTATTACAACTTCGTTTGTAAACAATCGTACAATTAAATATGGCGGCTTTGTATTATTTTAATTATATTCCTATCGTGAGAGAGATGGATATTGTCCGAAACTTTGTTCCATCTCTTTCTTTTATTGTACCATAATTCTGACCGCTAAGGCATGTCATCTTATGAGAATCTTGATGACAGAAGAAGATAAGATATTGACCGTTCCTTTAATTACACAAGAGAATTTTTTTGTGAGATGTTATAATAGTGATGAAAATGAGGGTATCGGAGTAGTGCTATCTCTTTCATGACACGCTTACACACTATCGTGAGAGAGATGGATATTGTCCGAAACTTCGTTCCATCTCTTTCTTTTATTGTACCACAATTCTGTCCGCTAAGGCATGTCCATTAGTAAACGACAGAAGAAGATAAGATATTGACCGTTCCTTTAATTACACAAGAGAATTTTTTTGTGAGATGTTATAATAGTGATGAAAATGAGGGTATGTCTAAAATTAATTAATTAAATTAAACTTAATGAGCAATTACAAAATCTAATAATTGCTTCTCGTATTATTGCAGGAGGTATTCCACCACGAGAGTATGAAGGCACAGGTTACGATGAGTGTGATGTAGACGCTTCTACTTGTTTGCTAAAACATGAAAGAGAAAAAATTTTAGCATCGGTATTAATTGATCATTGTTACTATATACCTGTGTCATCAGAAGAATGGTCAACAGAAATTGAGATTTCCTTATCCCCAAGGTCGATAAATAACGCAAATGAAATCCAATGCAACAACGACGGATATCGGACGCCGTCGCCGATTATACTACCTCCATCGGAGCAAGTAAACATACAAAAGCAGATGAATAAGGGTGGAAATGAATTCCACGAGAGGATTTCTAAAAATGACATTAATATCGAACAGTTTAGTAGACGAAAAGCGGCACTTCTGGACTGGAAGTGTTTCATGCAGCCGAAGATTGATGCTGCTTCCCAGAAGCCTGATTTTGACATTCACGAGTACGGCACTTACATTATGGACGCTATTCCACTAGGTGAATCTCGAAATTTTAATCACGTAATCAAAGATAAACCCGCTTCCGAGGTATCCCGATTGTTTCTTGCAACTCTTCAATTAGCTAACACCAACAATGTGGAGTTGGAAAATGTACCTAAAGGTCAATTGGCCAATGGTAAGATGTGTATAAAACTATTAAGTCGTGAGCGTTATCACGAGCAACTCGAGGAGTACGTTGCACCGTCCGAAAAGTCATACGGTAATAAGTTTAAACAAGCGTGCAAATCGCTCTCTTCTACATCAACGCATTCTTCTACACCAAATAAAAAATTGAAAATTTGCTAGGAACTCTCTTTATAATTTTACTTTTCTTATATGTATGTACATTTGATACACCAGTTGGATTTTTGTAACATTGTTTAGTTCATTTTTTGTTTTAGAATACCTATTCATTTTTAAGTTATATTTTTCTGATTTACTGTATATTGAATTCCTAAGTTTTACATATGTATGTATATACAGCAAGTAGAATAGTAAACAGGAAATGTTTCAGCCTATACCGTATTATATTTTTATAAAAAACAATTATTCAATTATTAGAAGTTAAATATGATAACTATTACAATAAAATAAAATAACATTAACTTGGCTGAACTACTGAACATTTCATATTTCATATAAACTTCCGTAAAGTAAAGCAAACTTTTTTAATGGTCTAAAAGAGAAATTTGCAAGGCTGTTTTTATGTTGCAACAAACAGTTCTTTAAGGATCTTTTCAGTGTTAATCGAGCATCTATATATATTTACCCAAGTGTTGAAGTTGTTTGTCAAATTGTATGGGTTTTCCACTGTGCAGGCATAAGTTCATCAATTCTTCTGTCTAAGAAAGACACCTTTGTACTTAAATTGTGTACAGTTTCCTCAATGCGAGTTTGATGGTGCCATCGCAACTGTGGCACTAACTGTTCTGCATGAGCAAGTCTACTTTCCACTGAGTGAACTTTTTGTTTAATAGCATCCAGATATGCATCTTGTAGGTGAATGCTTCTTTTAACTGTGGGTACTACGAATAAAATTTAATTAAACATCATATTTTTCTAGGATAAATAATTTTACTCATACCATTATGATGAATTTTCAGTATGTCCAGAAAAAAAGAACTGCAAATTAGAGGTAAAATAAATAGTAAAATAACTTAAAAAATAATACTGCACCCGTTACTGCTGTTACTTCCTTGAATTAAATTTGAAAGTGGCAAAAGCACATTCCTGCCGTTTCGTACTTTAATTGTCAGTTCATCTGAAATGTTTAACTGCTTCTTTATTTCTCCTTTAATTAAATTATAATCCATTGTTTCGTTTAATTCTAACTCGGCAAATGTAATACTCGGATTTTCTACGGAGAAAATAGCCGCAAATGTTTACTGTACATAAACGCGAACGTTGTTTATTACCAATTAAATCGTATCTTCTTACATTGACACTGACCATCATTGCCTTAGACATAATTGTTTAATAATTGTTTTTTATGAGGAATGGTTAACTTATAATTATATTAACCACATTAATCACAAAATAAAATTTTTATTGACTTTTGTTTTTGACATTCCACGACATCCATAGATAAGAAATACACCTCTTATTTATAATTCCACCATCCATTTACCAGTGAACTGTATACTGCGGAGCATAGACATATATTAATGGACGTGCCTTAGCCGTTTGTCATTGTAATAATTTCTTGGCTGGAAGAGTGAGGGAGATGGCGTATGATTTCGGACTAGTGCTATCTCTTTCATGACACGCTTACACACTATCGTGAGAGAGATGGATATTGTCCGAAACTTTGTTCCATCTCTTTCTTTTATTGTACCATAATTCTGACCGCTAAGGCATGTCCATTAGTAAACGTCGATGCTACGGGTACTACGAAGTAGTATAGAGTTTAGTACCATTTACACAAGAACCCTAAATAATCAAGACACTAGAGTAGGGATAGAAAGAGTAAGAAAAAGAAAGTGAAAGAGAGCTCTTATCTGTAATCTTCATACCCTTTGTATATCTATTATGTATGCTTCATACTTTCGTTATGTGTATTCTATACAATTCTATGCGTATATTGTTGGTGTCATAGAGGTGGATGTTGGTGTTTTACGCCGCCATTTCGCTGTGTTGGGGATCGTCTCGTCTGGTCCTTGTAAAATGAGTTCGTTAAATGTATTACCCACTAGGTATCATCATTGTTGAAACACATCATTTTAGCCCAAGTTTGGAATCATCAAATCTAGTTAAAGGTAAGAAAACAAGTTCGTGCAAGTTAAAGTGGTTATAAAGCACTCCTTTCGTCCTAAGCGTTATTACAACAATTGTGTTTTGCATTGCATTATATGCAGTTAATAGCTAAAAGAAAAGTACCAAGCATTATCATATCTGGAAAGTATACGTTAATTCGCGAAAGACTTTTCGTAGTTTGTGTTGTGTTGTCGAAGTTATACCGTTAAGTAAGTTAGTAGTTTGGAAAATGTATTTAACGAAGAAACCAAATGCTACTTGCAGAGTAATAATGGTAAAAAAAGGACATATGGCCACCTCGAAGGTAAGATTAAAACAACAACGGTCTCAAAAGAATAACGAGTGTTCATGTCCCAATGAAATTTTGTTCGCTGTTGCTGGTTTTAACTCCACGTTATCGTGATATTTCTTTCATGTTTCAGCTAAAATACGTCCAATGGATTCAGACGAATCCCGAGATTTATCTTCTGCTAGTGATAGTGAGAGTGATGGAGAAATGCAGTCACGTTCTAGACAGAGATCTCAAAGTGATTCTCCATCAACAAGAGGCAGGTCGAATTCGAGTTTTAGTGATTCTGAGACTGAAAAGCAAAATGTTAATAAACCCAAGTCTGACAGTAGCTCCACCAGTAGATCTTCTAGAAGTCGCTCAGTGTCAGTTGATAGCAAGACAAACAAATCATCACAAAACAGTACGCCACAACATCCAGAAAGCAGGTCGGAATCCGTCAGTTCTCTAAAATCTCCGCATTCTAGAGCCGGTTCAAAGTCTCCAGAAAATAAATCTCCTATTTCTAGATCAGCTTCTATGTCACCTATCTCTAGACCAACTTCAACAGGTTCTAAACTTGTTCATTCTTCTAAATCTCTTGATCAGCCCAACAGATATGCTGCTTTGTCTTTTTCATCAGAAAATAGAAACATAAGAGTTAAATCTCCACAAACAAGTGGTGATAGAAATAGACCTCCTATTATCAGAGAGGGGACACCTAAATCTCCTTCGATTGATTCTACTAGATCCAATTCTTCAACAATAAACCACAATGATTTGGAACAGTATCCACACAGTCCAGTTAATGGCAGATCTAAATCAATCTCTCCCGACAGAAGGAGTAGAGAGTCATCTAAAAGTGACTCATCGAGGACCTCTAAGATAATACATGAAGCAGCAAATTTGGATGATGGCATCACATCAGATTCCAGTGACTCCAGTGAAGATAACATTTCAAGACACAGAAAAGGCATTGTAAATGCTGATACAAGGCCTGAAGATATTTCTGATGGTTTGTATTACAATTTTTACGTTCTCATTTTGAAATTGATACTGATATTTTAATTTCTATAGTAGTTGTTAATTTTCTTAATGTTTAAAGTATCAGACTGCATACAGGTGCATTACTCTGCACCTCTGCAGGTTTTAATACTCACATATATATGTGTATTCACACTACCTGATAATAGTAAATAAATAAATAAATATTTTATATGGCAGATGCTGATTCTGATATTGAAAGAAAAGAAAGGGAGGAGAAGGAAAGAGAAAGGGACGCCATTCAAAAAGAAAGTGTTGCAAATTTGCAAATGGCTCATGAGGACCTCTCTGACGTGTCAGATTTAGACGCACCTTCTGACGATGATGAATCTAGAAAATCAATTGCGGCAGATACGAAAGTCAAAGAATGTCTCATTGAGGCAGAAGTTAAAAAGGTAAATAAAAATTATGTATTTTATTATTTGTGATACCCACTACAGGTAAAGAGTACTGTATAAGGCTATGTAAATGTTTAATAATATAAAGCCCCTTCGCACAATATCTGAGGGAATACTATTTTGTTATGAAATTATTTAGTATATAAGTTAATTATGTAAGTAACTATCCTTGAGTATAGCTGAAGATCTGCTTCACTCTTCGGGTCATTATGTATTCTAATTCCTACAATAGACGACATCCTCAGGGGATATTACTGCTGCTGTAGTCAGTAGAGATCTCTACTGACTACAGCGTGGCGACGAAACGTCGAGTATAAACCTTGAAAGACAACGGCCAGAAAGCCCGAACGACCACGACAACATTAACATATATATATATATATATAATTACAGTGCACAGTTAAGATAACAAGTAATAATTTAACTTATGTATGTGTAGTTATTTATATATTGTTAGAATTATACAGTTGATTTCTCAGCGATTCTGGGAACGTCGTTGTAATAATTTCTTGTCTCGAAAAGTGATGGAGATGCCGTAATGGTTTCGGAGTAGTGTTATCTCTTTCATGACACGCTTACGCACTATCGTGAGAGAGATGGACATTGTCCGAAACTTCGTTTTATCTCTTTCTTTTATTGTACCACAATTCTGACCTCTAAGGCNAAGTTAACTGGTTATTATTATAGTTTTAATATTCATATTATAATAGTTTTTAATTTTAATTAGAAATAACCTTTTTTCTAACAGGTAGTTGAAAGTAATGCACGGCCAGATGAAGGAGAAGAACAGTTAGATTTTGAAGCAGAAGACGGAGAATGTGCTGAACCAGAGACCCCAAAGGATAAAGAGGACTCGAATAACGTCACAACAGAAGTCGAAAAACGAGAAGCTACTGATGTCAGAGAATCAGAAAAAGTGGTGAAAGAAAAAGAACTTGAAGAGGGAGAACTTACCGACGAAGACGAAGCAAGACCTGAAGAAACAGAGCCTCGGCCAGTCTGCCGTTTCTTCTCGAGAGGACAGTGCACTTGGGGTGCTAGTTGTCGTTTTCTGCATCCGGGAGTCACAGACAAAGGTAATTATACAATGTTTGAACTGATAAGACCAATTGTTCCCGGCGAATTTGGACACGAAAGAATGTTCTACGGTAGACCAGAACCGCCCCCAATGGAATCGGCTTGGGAAAGGGGACTAAGAACTGCCAAAGAGATGTTACGTAAGTCTATGAAACGAAAAGAGCAAGATATCGATTTTGAGGAGAAAAAGATGAACCTCAGCCTTACTCAAGAAGAATTAGATAAAGAAAATGGATATTATACTAGAGGGCCTTCGCCCGAACCCAGGTAACAATATTTAATATATTGTACTTCATAGTCGATGTACAACATCTCTGTCATTCTTCAGGTATGCTCCTTCAAGACATGTGGTCCCAGTTGATTATACCCCTGCACCTGCCGTTAGGCCTCAACCTGAGGAGTATTACGCTCGCAGACAGGTCATATACGAACCAGAATATGCTCCTCCGCCAAGAGAACGGACCCGCCCTTATAGAGAAATGCCTGCGCATCGTGTACCCGATTACTACCCCACCGCAAAGTATGAAGAAGATCCGTCTTCTTCTACCAAGGTCTGTTGCACTTGCATCTTATTTTTTTCTGCGTCATTTTATTTAATTAATTAGCAGTTGAGAAAACCGAAACGCGAAGTAATAGTTCAAAGAGTAGAGGAAGATCGAAGACCAGCTCGTGGAGATGAATGGTCAGATCCATGGATGAGATCCAAATCTCCTGCGGGACGAAAGGGGCGCCGAAGATCCTACAGTTCTGGGTCCAGTTATAGTTCGAGCAGGTAAATTATTCCATATTATAAAAAAGAAGAAGTAGAAAATGATGACAGTTTTTTTACAATACTTGTTGTTTTTAGTACATCTCGAAGTTCATCGGGTTCAAGCCGTAGTTCGTACAGATCGAAATCGTCCAGGCGTCGACAGACGTCGTTGCGACGTCATAAACGCCAAGTGTCGCCGTCAGTAATAGTTTCTGAGAGAAAGGCGGCTAACGAAAGAGCAGCACTTATGAACCCGCCCGCACCGCGTAAAAAGGCCCCTTCTCCAGGTAGGTTTAGTAAATTTTTATGTAATAATAATTGTTACTTTTCTTTCTTTTTTTCTTATAGGTATGATGAGGGCAGGAGCTCAAAATCCTCCTGCGCCTTCTATGAAAGTTGATCAGTTTGGACGAACAAGGAGTAAATTAGCAGTAGCGGCTGCCCTTGCACGGGTTAAAGGTAGAACTAGGGCGTCACGATCACGTTCATCATCCGGTTCTAGTTCTGCTTCAAGTTCTAGTGAATCGGACTCCTCCGGAAGCAGTAGTTCTAGCAGTCGTGAAAGAAGTCCACCGCGAAGACCCACAGGTAACACATACCGCTAACTAATTTTTATATATTTAAATATGTATTTTCTTAAAGGCGTGGATTTAGCAATGGCATTGAAGGCAAAGGCCATTGACGCATTGAAGAGCGGCACAGAAAAACGTCAAATAAAATTAAACTTGAAAACGGCTCCTTCAATAACAAAAAAAACCGATTTGTCCGAATTGGCTATACATCATCAACAACAGCAAGGCAAGAAAAGATCTGCAACTTCAATGGCTTCTCCACCAATATCATCCGGGTTGGATACATCGTTAAAAGTGGCTAATAAGAAGGCGAGTTCGAGGCGTGAAGAACTTCTCAAGCAACTTAAAGCAGTTGAAGACGCGATCGCTAAAAAACGGTCGAAAGTAAACTAAAAAAGCTGAGTAGAACTTTTGCGTGAATTTTATTCAGACTTTTCTCTTTTGTTTTGTTGAGTAAATTTGTGGTAAGGTAGATATGTATAAGAAAATTTTTTTGGTGGTTCAAATTAAACAACTTGACCTCAGTATTGTAATTAATTCTCAAAAGTGACTAAATACCGTATGTTAAAATGTAACTTGTAACATTGTAATAGTAATATGCATAGAGTTTTCTGTCGTATACTTATTTTGTTTTTTTTTATAAAATGCGCAATTTTTTGCTGTATTTAAGAGCTGATGTAAAAGGTTGTTTAGTTGAATTAATTTTGTACAAGAACTTGGTCGCAAAAGAAAAGGTTTTCCTGAAAATAAACCAATTTTCAATTAAGTTTTTCGTCTTATATTTGAATAAACGAAAAAGTAATTATTGCAGAAGGTTGAATTCCCCGTATGTGTTTCTTTACAAAGAGGAAATGCAGATAGCCTCCCCCTTTTATACTAACAAAAAGACAACCCATTCAATGTACGCGCCCTATCTTTTTAGTTAGTGACAGTTTCTGTTAGATAGCGCAAAACTCAATCCATAGATAAGACCTGTATGTTGACATAGACATATAATAATGGACGTGTCTTAACCGTATGTCGTTGTAATAATTTCTTGGCTCGAAAAGAGTGAGGGAGATGGCGTATGGTTTCGGACTAGTGCTATCTCTTTCATGACACGCTTACGCACTATCGTGAGAGAGATGGACATTGTCCGAAACTTCGTTTTATCTCTTTCTTTTATTGTACCACAATTCTGACCTCTAAGGCATGTTCATTAGTAAACGTCGATGTATGTTGATACCTTATCTATGAAAACAAGAAAAAATCCTAACCACAATGAGACGACCGTCATGTCTTTAGTTGCAGGATTTAAAGGTAAAAAAACGATTTAAATTAAAAGAATAACAATAAAGATGCTCTTTTATTAACTTGCAGTTATACCTATCATATCTTCAAAAGAAAGTAACCATCAACATGAGTTGTTTGTTAAAGAAAATTCTGCTCGTGCACATTCAACTGATAAACCACTAGGAAGAACTCTTTTTGTTTTAAACGTACCTCCGTATATCACTGAAGCGAGCTTAAAAAACATATTTTCTATTGCAGGGCCAGTACAGTCAGTTAATTTTCAAACAAAACTTTACAGCAAAGATGGCAAAGTTATTAATAAACGCTGTGGCTTTAAAGTATCATACGTTGTATTTAAGGAATTATTGGGTTTAGCTAATGCTTTAAAGTTAAAAAGCTTGCCACCATTATCCGCCAATGGACAACCTGTGCTCCTCGGTATTAGGAAGTGGTTAAATAACTATAATAAAAATATCTGTAATCACAGAATGCTTCAAAAAAACGTGGATTCGTTTATGAAAAAATATGATAAACAAGTAGAGCAGCAAAAGAGGAAAGAAAGCAAAGAGATAACTGATGATGAAGGTTGGACTGTGGTTACAAAGACTGGGCGAAATCCTGTACTGTCTAGTAAAAATACTGTTCATAATCAAGAGAGTTTTCAGAAAAAGAAGAAAGTACTAAGAAACTTCTATACTTTTCAAATACGTGAAGCACAGATGAATAATTTAGCTATGTTAAGAAAGAAGTATGAAGAAGACAAGAAAAAGGTAGCTGCCATGAGACAAGCCAGAAAATTTAAGCCATTTTAGTAAATTTATATTTATGGGGTACTTCATATACTCTTTTATTAATTGTTATAATGATAAAAACTAGTATTGACAAAATTTGAATTTTGTTATCATTTATTAATAAATCAATTAAAATATCCGTGTCATTTTTCCTAACATTTTTCTTTGGGGCTTTCATACGGGCGACCGACGTCGCGACGTCATTCATAGAATCACATAGAACTCGATGTTTTAAAAAATTTATCCATTCAAAGGAAGTGAGAGGGGTGAGAAAGCAAGTGTTTGATTGGGTCGAGCATTTCAAAACAGAACCGGAGTAGGAGTAGAGCAGAGTACGTTGCGTTTGTTTGTATTGCCATTGCCATTGAACGAACACGAATTAATAAAGATTTTGTTCAATTTAGTTAGTGTGGTTTTGTCAAGATACAATGGATACTGCTCTTCGTGAACAAGTTATGATAAATCAGTTCGTTGTTGCGGCAGGTTGTGCTCGAGAACAGGCGAAACAACTCTTACAAGCGGCACATTGGCAATTTGAGGTGAATTTATTACAACTTCGTTTGTAAACAATCGTACAATTAAATATGGCGGCTTTGTATTATTTTAATTATATTCAAAATGTTCCGGTTCAAAATATTGTTGTATTGTTTTACAATAATTTGTACAATTTCAAGGTCATAAATAATATTTTATTTATATGTTTTTTTTCGATGGGGTTTTCTCAACTGCAACGAATGGCGAAGTTCGCATGTGTAATTTACGCCCGATTAATTTTGCTTTCATTTTATAAATTAATAAATCTACCAATTGCCCTTAATAAAGAGATGAATTCAAACAAAATAAAAATTGTAATTTAAATGATTTACAATGTTTCGGGCAAACAGGCTTTTATCAAGAGTAATGAAGGTACTATTTTATTTAATACTGCATTTAACAGAATAGATGGTTTTTATTTTACTGTTTTTATTTTCAGACGGCCTTAAGCATCTTCTTTCAAGAAGCGGCAATACCATCCTATAATTCTGGTGGTAATCCACACTTTGGTCATCAAGTATGTACTTATCCTGTGTGTAGTGGCACACTGAATAATATTTACTATTTAAGGTAATGACCCCATGCAATACACCTGCAACACCTCCAAACTTTCCGGACACTCTGCTAGCATTTTCTAAAATGTCTACAGGAAATAGTAACACCCAGTCGACCAGCACATCAAGTTCAGTAGCTCCACCCCAACAGTCTCCAACTCCTACAATGCAACAACGGTAAAATCCGTCATTCATTTATTAGTTAGAAAATTTGTTGAAAATCGTTGCTTTAATTAAGTTTGGTGACTTCAGAATATCAACACCATAAATTGACATAGTAATCATCTTTATTCATGAATTTATTGAGCTCAACATAATACAGCATTAAGATTTTTATTTTAAAACAGTTGCACACTTACATTTGGCAAAAGTAATTAATGTACATAGATGTAGAATTGCTAATTATCATTTTAATTTTCTAAATGTAAATAAAATCGATTTATGTTAGGTAACTGCTCAAAATAAAAAGAAAATTGATGATGGATAAGGTGCTCGGTTATTTTCTCAATTGTAAAGTTTTAATTTAGTCAGTTATTTAACTGACCTTTAATGTTCATTTATTATTACTTTGTAAATATAATAACAGTTATAATTAGTTTATCTTGAAACTTGTAGTAATTAAGTAAACACTGCACCTTTTACAAATAAATGCAGGTTGTTTTCATCATTCCTTTTTCTAGAGATGCCATAATTAATAACAAAATATAGTACTAATGAGTAATATACTGTCTTTTTTAATTTCAATAGTTATTTATCTTTTTTAAGAAATTGATGAGGAATAAAGAAATATAAAAGTAAAATAAATTTATGTAAATAAATACAGTTTATTCTTCACCAAAATTGTGGTTAAAGTAACATTGGTTAAAATTAAATTTGAATAACAGGCAACAAATCCTTACATTAAATGGTTTATTATGAAGAAAAAAATAATTACACAGGCCTAATGGAACACTAAAATGTCAAATTGAATTCAGGATTTTTAATAAATGGATAACAAAACTATAAATAGTAGCATGTTATAAGATTTTTATGGATTCATTGTAAATCTATAGACAGTAACAAGAATAGTAATGTCTAATATGCCTCGGCAAATATGACTTGAGAAGCTATACAGAGATTAGACGCCCATACGTTTTCCCCCATTTTTCCTAACCATGCCTCTAGTTGTTACTTAACAATATAATATATACCTGCTTATTAACTGAAGATAACAGTCATAAAAAAAGAAATAGGATTTAAAACCTTTTTTTCATGACATGGATACTATAACAAATAGCAAGAATGGGTTCTGCAAGAATCGATGTTTAGGGGGCAGGCAGCCGCGGGGGCAAATGGCGACGTTTGTGGATTTGAGGGCTAGAAAATGCTACCTTCCGGTGGCTGTGTAAGTTTCATATTTTCTTTAAGTGTCATGAGTCTGCGAAGCTCTTGAAGAACAGTCTTGATGGTATAATCGCGTTGCCATCTTGCCAAAACCGGAACTTGTTTACTATCTACCTATAGAATAATTACAAAGAGAATAAATATAACAACTTTTATAGGTTAAGTGGGTGCTTCTCAGGTTATTTTAAAACCTATGAAACAAAAATTTCAACTATAAAACTACAACTTACCATGCCTGAATTTGCATTAATGCAATTCATATTAATTCTACTTATAAATCTAGCACAAGGTGGTTCATCAGGATACTTTGAACCACATTCTACTTTAACAGAATACATTTTGTTCTCATATGGAGTTCTTGGTGGACCGATAATCATGCCATTCCAATGTGTTAGTGTCATGTCGTCGTCATTTTCTAAGCCCCAACTGATGGTGCCATCACCTACACCCTTTTGTCCTGCTTCCAGCTCTTCCAATAACCGAAAATTTCGTGGTACCACTAATAAAACAATACCAATTATTAATGAGACAAATAAAAAATGTAACAAGTAAAATTATCATTAATGACAAGTTATACAAATAACTCACTAAATTTCTTACCTACACCGGTCGACTGCGACGCCATTGTTGATTACTTCGATGATTTTTTGTATTTAGTCTCTGGAAATGCGAATTAACAAACTTAAAATTAACTTATTAACATTAAAATTGACCTACAATGGCGAGTTTATATGCGCTAAAATACAATAGAAAAGAAAGATTCCCTATTCTTAATAAATTCGGCCCGATCTTATCAAAATCTCACATTCCAGATGCATTCCAGAATCAATTTCGCACAAAACCTTAGATTAAACCATAGACAAGGATTAAGCACAAAGGGCAATCATAGATATGTGAATTATATAGTAATAATCTATGTAGAATAATATGGATAAAGAATTTACGATTTAAATAAAGAATATAATCTGCAAGTACTTCATTCTTCTAGGTCCAGGGCGTTACTTATTTATAAAAAAAATATCCAATCCAACATTTTCACTTCATAATTTAAAGTCGACTCTTTAGACGCTATTGATTAGTAATGCTGGCCACCATCCACACATGTCACCTCGCTTCTATGCGTCAGATAATTTTCTATGTGTTTTCTTCTTCTGTCAAATAATCTGTGTCAGATTGTCTATGGTGCCAGATACATGTCAGGTGTGTGTCAGAAAGATACATGCAAAATAATTTATAGGTTACAGCAGTTCTACAGTACAATATTATTATTTAATTAAATGATAAATAAAAATATTTAATAACAAAAATGGAGTGTATTATAGCAAATGTCGATAATGTTAAGTTCGATATTGAGGTCGCATTAGATGAACAATATGGAGCTTTGCCATTACCGTTTTCTGGAATGGACAGTAAGTAAAAATACCTAGGAGGCATAAAATGATCAGTGTTTGTGTTAATATAATCAACCTGCTTCTAGAATCGATTGCTGCTGTTTGTCAATTCTTTGCGTCTCCCTTGGGTTGTCAAAAAGGGCCCTTGTGTCCTTTTAGACATGTACGTGGCGATAGAACCATTGTTTGTAAACATTGGCTTCGAGGGTTGTGTAAAAAAGGAGATCAGTGTGAATTCTTACATGAGTATGACATGTCGAAGATGCCTGAATGTTATTTTTATTCAAGATTTAATGCATGCCATAACAAAGAATGTCCATTTCTGCATATAGATCCCGAAAGTAAAATTAAAGACTGCCCTTGGTATGACAGGGGTTTCTGCCGTCATGGTCCACATTGTAGACATAGACATGTTAGAAGGGTGCTATGTACAAACTATTTATCGGGATTTTGTCCTGATGGATCAAATTGTAAATACATGCATCCCAGATTTGAATTGCCTGCACCACCTGATCAAAATTTAAAAGATCAGAAGAAGCCACCTGTAATAATTTGTCATTTTTGTGGTGAGCATGGTCATAAAGCAATACATTGCAACAAAATGAATCCAGATGTGAAAGATAATATTCAGAGTGAGGGAAATAGAACTGTTAATGTAATTAACAACTGCAATATTAGCAACACTAATGTAGAAAGTAATGAAAATCAACAGTCGTTGTTTACTCGAAATGTACCTAAAAAGTTGGAGGATGTGACATGTTATAAATGTGGAACAAAAGGTCATTATGCTAACAGATGCCCAAAAGGACATTTGGCCTTTCTTTCATCTCAGTATAAAAATGATAAAGATGCTGCTGATTAGTTTGTAAACGATTATATGATAATAAATTTATTTAAAATGGTAATTCATATAATATAATATTCATGTACATAACATGAGAAATATCCCAAGATCATTATTGATATGATACCGAAGTAATTTGATTGCCATAGACAGTGATTGCTTTGTAGATGTACGTAGATGTATGTTGGGTTGCTCACCTAGCAATTGCAATTTCGGTTTGTCATTTGTATTCACTTTTCGTTGTGTAGGTACGTATGCAAACCGTTATAGATTTACCATTCTACGAAGTGTTTTAATGATTGCAATGTGACCAGTAGTAAGAAACTTAAAGTGCAATATATTTAATGATGTATTACTTCAGTAGTTTAAATTCTGGAAGCCGCAATTTCAAGTGTTTAACCTCCGTAACGCGTCGTTTAACCGGCCTTAGTCAATGGGTTAGTTAATAACTTTCTAAATACTGAAAAACGTGTCTATGAATTTATTTTTAGGATAAAGAATTAGACATCACACTTAAGCATGATATCGAAAATTACTGGGGTGATAAACTTAAAAATTCCAATTACGACGAGTCTGATAAAACGCGAGATAAATACTATGTTCTGCCTATGTTTCCGTATCCTTCAGGTCATTTACATATGGGTCATGTTCGGGTTTATACAATCAGTGATTCTGTAGCAAGATTTCAACGCATGCGAAATAAAAATGTATGTATAGTTTATTAAGTCATTTAAAATATTTATAGTTACTTTTTTGTTATCAGGTATTGCATCCGATTGGTTGGGATGCTTTTGGATTACCTGCTGAAAATGCGGCTATTGAAAGACATATAGCGGCTGATAATTGGACTAAACACAACATAAATCATATGAAAATGCAATTTCAAAAATTAGGTTGTAGCTTTGATTGGAAGCATGAAATTTCCACTTGCGACCCTGTATACTACAAATGGACACAGTATTTATTTTTAAAATTGTTTGAAGCTGGACTTGTTTATCAAAAAGAAGTAAGTAAGAGTGAAAAAATGTATAGTTATTATTATTATTATTAAGGCAGATTACATCTCACCTTATAGAGATGGATAATGCTACTTGTACTTAGGTATGACTTCCTAAATTGGCTAAATGTTTATACTTATGTTTGAATTTAGGCACTTGTTAATTGGGATCCTATTGATCAAACAGTTTTGGCAGATGAACAGGTTGATGAACATAACAAATCCTGGAGATCTGGAGCAAAAGTGGAGAAGAGGCTACTGAAACAGTGGTTTATTAAAACAACTCAGTTTGCCGCAGAATTGCTGGATGGATTGGATGATAAAACATTACAAGATTGGCAGGACATTATCAAAATTCAAAAACATTGGATTGGACAATGCAATGGTGTTAGCTTTGACTTTAATATTGTTCAAGACACTTGTAATATACTCACTGACCAAGTTACATTTACGGTGTGGACATGGTTACCTGAGTATATTGATCATGCCAAATTTGTAGTTGTCTCAAAGCAGCACCCTTTTAGTAAAATGTATTTACGTGAAGATATTAGTGGAGTTGTAAAATTACCAATTTTGCTTAAAAACCCTCTTAATGAAGTTCAACTTCCTGTCTTTGTAAGTGATGCTTTTGAATTTTTGCCTGATACAGATACTCATTTAGGTAAGATTACTTTCTCATACTTTTGTTTTTAAAAACACTAAAAAATGTATATTGTAGGCATTCCATCTGTAATAGAAACAGATAAACAGTTTGCCATTAAACAGAAAATTGAATACCAAGACATACATCTTCTTGATAATACAGAAGCAAAACGGAGACGCCAAGAAATATGCAAAAAGGCGCAAAAAATGCGTGTCGGGGGATTTTGGACAAGCGCGAAGCTTAAAGATTGGTTGATATCACGTCAACGCTACTGGGGCACCCCTATTCCTATTGTCCATTGTGACAAATGTGGTCCTCAACCAGTTCCCGTGAAACATTTACCAGTAACACTACCACGACTTAAAACAACCGTTCATGAAAAGGGCATTCCCATTTTATCAACTTACCCTGAGTGGCTGTGGGTTTCTTGTCCCAGGTGCGACAAACCAGCACGCCGAGAGACCGATACAATGGACACTTTCGTTGACAGTTCCTGGTATTACCTGCGTTATGTAGATCCGTACAATTCTGATGAAATGTTTTCACAAGAGAAAGCAAAATGGCTCATGCCTGTTGATCTTTACATTGGAGGAAAAGAGCATGGTATAATTTATTTATTTTAAGTGGTATACAATAGAAAACTATATAAATTGGATGTATTATTTCTTTTAGCCACTCTACACTTGTATTATGCTCGTTTTATCAGTCACTTTCTTAATTCGATCAATCTGATGCCTCAACGAGAGCCATTCAAGCGACTTCTCGTCCAAGGCATGGTGATGGGCAAAAGTTACAGAGTAAAAGGTACTGGTCAGTACATTCCCTTTGAGCAGGTGAAATTCTTAGGTGGGTAAGTGTTTATCGATGTGTCGATTAAAGTGTAATCTAAGTTATTTTTTTTACCTTTGTCCATTATTAGACGAAAAAAAGACGAAAGCAATTGATGTAGGATCGGGTCAACCCATAGTTATTAAATGGGAAAAAATGAGCAAATCAAAGCATAACGGTATCGATCCGAGTGACATGTTTCAGCAATACAGCGTCGACACAACACGTCTGTTGGTTCTAGCTGACGTAGCACCAACTTCACCTAGAAATTGGAATAGTAATAGTAAGTTGAATTATTCAACTTACTACATCTACAGTTTATTGAACATTTTGTTGTCTGTTTTTAGCTTTCCCTGGAATTCTGAACTGGCAAAGACGCCTTTGGTTTACAATTAGGGATTTTTTGAAGCACAGACGGACGCCTCCGTCTGCGATACCGGACGATCAGTTCTCAAAGCACAATGAGTACATGTTCGATTCAAGAAATTTCTTTGTGAAAGAAACAACGTTTAATTATTTTTTATCACAACAAATGAGTGTGGCCATTTCAAAAATGCAAGGACTCACAAACAGCTTGCGGGTAATAACAGTCTTGGTATTTTTGAGCACGATGGCAGTGTTTTTCAGTACATAGTACAAATTATTGAGGTCATTTGCATTTTCAAAGAATAAATATATATCTTGCTATTTTTATACACTTAAATTTCTATTTAATTACGTAAATAATTTTTAGAAAATGCCCGGAGATGTTATTGCTCGAAGTTTGCAATTTGAACGAGCTCTTGCATGTCAGATAATCCTATTAGCACCCATGGCACCACATTTTGCATCCGAGTTGTGGTCCGGGTTCATATCTGCTCCCAACAGACTTAACTCCACAGGCGAAATCTTGTGGAATAAGACTGTACTAGAGCAACGCTGGCCCGAAGTGGATTTATCCTATAATCTTGACCTTACTTGCCAAGTAATTTTCAGTTTCATTTGCCTACATTTATTTCTATTTTAATAAAAGGTATTTCCAGGTAAATGGAATCGAAAACGCCGTTATTAAAATACCTCGTTACAAATTGGAAATCTTAAGTGATAAAGAAGCCTTAAATATCGCCTTAAACAATAAGAAGGTACAACAAGTTTTGACTAAATGGCCAATGCTAACCTTTAATTATACATTATATGAGGGCATCGAAGGTGTTGTTAATATTATCTCAAGTTCACCTGTAGCGGCACAAATACAACAAAACTAATATTAAACATTTCTATTTTGTGACTTTATTCTCAACTTTTAAATTACTTTCTGTCTTATATAGGCAATAGCCCAATTTACATGATGAGTCTTTTATAATAAAATTTGATACAATTTTTAAAGCAAATTTTTCCTAAAAGATGAAATTTATGAAGAAGTTATATTAATAATAAATTGATAAGAACATAGTCCGGCTTTAATCGTTGTTTTTAAAGCGCATATCCATACGGTATAACAAGGGAAAAGGGAAAAGTTCCCCCTTCACCATCAAATTGAGTAATTATTATTATCACATTCTTATTGACAATTTCGATATTTTTAGTAGCCTATGCTATTCCTTGTATCATTAAGAACACCCTGTAAAAATTTCATGCAAATCGGTGTAGTAGATAATAGAATAGGGGGTCACTTGTCTTTATATAGTAGTGTATATCTATTATCTATAATAAACAGGAATGATCTATAGTTTGTTGAAATCTCTGTGCTTCAAATATCGATATTATTATCTATGGTACACTGCATATGTAAGTTCTCATTTGACAGCCGTACTTAACATAAAAAATCAGCTGTCTGTGTCAAAAATTAAACATTTTGCTTTCATAAATAATTGTTTGTAAATATATATTTACTTACAAAAGTAAATATCTTAGTGCCTTTAAAGTATCTTGGTTTTGTTTAATTTTATCGTACAGATGTGTGAGTCTTTTAACAAAACTATGTCCAAAAGGGATAGCCTCTACTCAATTAATTAAGCATTGGCTTAGTCTGTGAAACCTTTTTTTTACAGTTTTTGTGTGAAAAATGTACGAATTTTATAAGAAGTGTTTCGAGTGTATGGAAAATCACGTTCAAGCTCATATAAGTGAGAATGCACAGTTGGTTAGTAATGTACAAAATAACACAGAGAGACCTTATAAATGTGAACATTGTAAATTAAGCTTCAAAAAAACTCGTGATTTAGAGGCGCATCATACTAGGGTCCATACTGGAGAGAAACCATATGAATGTGATGTGTGTAAGAAGTGTTTCACTCGTAGTGACACTTTAAGGAAACATATGAGAGCTCATACTGGTGAAAAGCCCTATGAGTGTAAGGTATGTAATAAATGCTTTGCTCGCAGCGACACGTTAAGGAAACATGCAAGAGGGCACACAGGCGAAAAACCATATGAATGTGGAGTCTGTAAAAAAAGTTTTGCACGGAAAGACAGTTTAAGTAAACACTCAAGAGGTCATACTGCTGGAAAAACATCCGAATATCTTTTAATAAATGGTCCCACATCTCAGTAGTAATTGTATTTATATTTAAAGAGAAATGGCTTATGCTTTTCCGGTTATCTGTATACATCTCTTTCTGAAATCTTATTCAATTAGTAATAGTCAAATAAAGTGCAAGCAGTGTAACATAAATGTAGGAGATTGTTATTCACTGATTAGATGTTAATCGTGTATCTTTGCATTATTTTTACTATGGAAGAAATTAAGTTGCCTATTTTTATAAAACTATAAAGCTAAGGGATATATCATAAATTTTTCAGATAACCAGCGCAACTGATTATTAATAAATGTAATTGTAACTAATGGGCAATTAATATAGTACTTGACCTAATCATTTTTTTATTTGCTTAATGACGTTATACAAATAAAACAATTACTTTCATCATGATTGAAGATTATTTACCAATAATTAAAATTCTAAAGTAAAAGTATTTTTTGTAAAGTTAAAACAAATATAATTGGCATTAATAATATCTGAAAAGTAAAAATTGTTTTTTAAGTAACTATTAAAAAAATAATTTGAATACTATTTTTTAATGTTTAGAAGCAAATGATTAATCGATAAGGAAGCTAAATGATGTGACTGTTCGAAGATCGAAAAATGATGTAGACCAATGATAGCAACATAGACACAAAATTTTCTTATCTATGCAATATATTTTTCTTATCTATGGCAAATATCTTTAGCATATGTCTTTAACCATAGAAAGTCTTTAACCCCCTTTAACCTAAAATTTTGACGTTTAATATGAATTTTGTTTTACGTAGTTGTTGGATTTGTAAATCGTTTAATTATAAATCATACAAGATAAACACGTGTTAATTTACGTTAAACTTTATGGTATTTAGACCAGTTTAATACATAATAACCTTTTTGAAAACTATGTAACAGAATTTGCAGTTATCCATTATGGGTGATCATTTATTTCTACAAAATCAAGAGATTGAAACAGTTACTGTAAAAACGGAACCTTTAGCATACGCTGATGTTGATTCAGACGAGGATGTAAAACCAGTTAAAATTAAGATTGAAAAATACGAGCAAGATACTTCAATAAAAGTTACATCTATTAGTAATTCTGACAATTATGATTGTGAACCTCAGTCATTTTATGAAATGGGCTTATCGCTGAATTGTAGTGAAAACCATAACGTTATAAAGAACAAAGTGTATGATTGCCAGGTATGTGGCAAAAGTTTTAAGGAAAAGAAAGGATTGCAAAGCCACAAAATAGTACATGAAGAAGGCAGACCTCATGAATGTGAGTTCTGTAGAAAACGCTTTAAATATAGAAGTAACTTAAATGAGCATATACACTTGCACACTGGAAGAAGGTCTTTTCCATGTAATGTTTGTGGCAAAAGCTTTTCACAAAAAAGTAATCTTGGAATGCACATGAGAATTCATACAGGCAATAGGCCATATAAGTGTGAATCATGCGGACATAATTTTGTTAAGAAAGGGGACCTTGAAAGGCATTTACGAATTCAAACTTGCAGTAGAAAAACACAGTATAGTTGTGAAACGTGCGGCAAACAGTTAAAATCACATGGGCATCTCATCATGCATTTAAAAACACATAATACTCAAAAATTATACACATGTCCACATTGTGGAAAGCACTTTAAATGTAGAACATCAATCCATAAACACCTTAGATGTCATACAGGAGAAAAGCCATACAAATGTGACCTTTGTGAGAAGTTCTTTTCACAGAAATGCAATCTACAAAGGCACAAAATTCTTCACACAGGTGAAAAACTGTATAGTTGTGATATTTGTAACATGTCATTTGCAGTAAAAGGTGGCCTAGATAGACACAAGTTAATTCATAAAGATGAGAAACCGCATAAATGTGATTTGTGTGGGAAATGTTTTAAGCGTAAATTTGATGTAAAAATGCATGCTAAAGTCCATGTTCGTATTATCTGCAGTGTATGTAAACAATGCTTTCTTGACAAAGATACTTTTGAATTTCATGAAAAAGAACATATATTAAAGATTTAATATAACATGATGTTTATTATTAACAAACACATAATAAACAGCAGTATGTGCCATTTACATTTGAATTTATACATAAATTAAAGAAATTGTTGCTATTTTTCGAAAATTGATCACCATGGCCGGATTTTTCCTTGTGTGGCGTGTGTTAACAGCCATGTGTTCTTCTCTTTTTTTATCATGGACATTTGCTTATGTCTTGGGTGTTCATTACAAATGACAAACAATCGATTTTCTCTTCGAACAAAATAACAACTTTTGCAGCGTCTTCTGAGAACACCTTTAACTTTGAAACCGCATGACAACAAAATATTTATTAATGCAGGCTTTAAAAAACTAGGTTGCATATAAGGGGAACTTAGAGTACTGGAACAAGAATGCATTAATTTTGGTGAAACATTGACTGTATACCGTAAAAATAAATACGAAAGTCTGTTAACAGTAGATAGAAATATCATCTTCGATATTTTGTATCTTTTAAAAAATATTGGGTATGCAACTTCCACCGACAGGACCCTAACAACAATGATAATGTAATCGCAAAGCCCTTGCTATAACCTAAAATTCTGAGAAGCCATAGAAATGTGAAGTTATACAATAGAAATTTGGTAAAATCAAACATATTTTACACATTACTGCAATCGTGTGAAACTGGCACCCGATATAAATAATCTACTGATTCAAACTTTACCAATAAGTTGTGTGTCGTTTGCGGGTTTTAATTATGTAAGTATCATAATTGTGCTTCTACTCCTTTTGTTAAAAAAAGGAAAATTGTTTCCAGTGTAGGTGGAAATTAAATGTCAATTTATTCAAAAACAACTGAAAATCTAATAATTTAATTGATGCCAATTAATTGCGTGTCATTTTTGTCTGAAAATGAACTATTATCCTAAGCGGAGTTTATTTTTATATTATTTATTAATAGTGATTACAAATAATACTAAATTTTTCAGTGGAATTATTATGATCATCCCATCTATGATTCACCAATAGCGCACGTGTATTAGTAATATAAATAAAAAATAACAGTATTTGTCTATGTATTATATGCAATTATTACTAATAAATAATATTAAAGATACATTCCGCTTACCACATTAGATTAGTTTTTAAGCATAAATGACACGCAATCAATTAGCTTTAATTAAATTATCATATTTTCAGTAGTTTTTGAATAAATTGACATTTAATTTCCACCTGAACTTGAAACAATTTTCCCATTTTTTAACAAAACGAATAGAGGTACAATTACGATACTTACATATTTAGAGTCCGCAAACGACGCACAATTTAGTGGTAAAGTTTAAATCAGAGGGTTATTTATATCGGGTGCGAGATTCACACGACTTATTACTGCTCCTTTTTCTAAATCATTGTTCCTGCTATTCCTACTATCTATGGATTGGTAATGGCGGCATAACCATACTTAAAGAGTTATGAGTGTATTGGACATTTCACTTATTTTATAATTTAAAAAAAAATTCTCTGTCGAATAAGAATTGGGTAAGTAGTACACAAGAATAAATGATATAAATTGCGTAACATTTTTTCAGTTTTTGCATCCATCTTTTATGTCTTTACATAGATGAGAATTTATTATGAACATTGTCTAACCGGTGGTGGATTAGGAAGCAGAATCGGCGTAACTGAAGAATTTTCCCAATATCCAGGAAATCGGTCTCCACTTGACATGTTACATTGCATACTAAGAGGTGCTTCTCTATACAATTCATGTAGTAGTTGGACTCTCATGGGGTTCCATTCAATTGCCTTGTAGTTCTCAGAAATTACTTTTCCTGCAGTCATTTGGCCTTCCCAGCTATAAAAGATGATTGTAATGTACATGTTACTCTTTTTTTGCAATTTATATATCTTACTCGTGCATGTACTTGAAATAAGTTGAAAGAGCATGGTCACTGATTGCACTTTTGCATACCTCCAACGTTGTTGATGGGAAATAATGAATGTAATTAACACACATTTCATCACTAATGGCAAAACCACCTAAGGTAACATTTTCCCTTTTAACTGTATTATATATGCAGGTAGTTATCAATGCGTCTCCCTGTAACAAGGAAATTTTAATTGAATAAATAGTGATGCCACTCGACTGTAAATAGTAAATTTAAATTATACCGGTAAAATTTTAACACGTCTTTTGAGACGTCTTATTTCTTGAAAATGGGTACTATAATGATTATCTCTGTTTAGTTCTGGTAATTCTCTACCGTCGCGAATATGCCTCGTAAATACACGCACGCCAGTCAAATGTGTGTGTAACTGTGATCCAAAAACGACGATTCCTTCAGGTGGTAGGCTCTACAAAAAAATTGGTAATCTTGAATTAATATTGGTGATATAACATAGTGGGATATTTAATAAGTTATTGCTATAAGTAAAAAGTACCACTGCAGTACACTCTACAATGCAATAACCACTGAGAGAGAATTCTTCCTGATTTGGTGGTATAGCCATTTTATCAGTATATTCCAATCCTAATTCAATTACTCCAGCATCCATTGGCCTCAATTTTGATACAATATCGAATCTAATCCCTGAACTGTCTATCCAGTCTGAATGAAATACAGTTATATTAAAAATATTTTATTTTGCTACTAATAAAAAAAAAAAAAAACACTGAAAGAGGGTACTCGCCATTTCTCTTTTCAGGATTGTTATAGTGAACTTCTAACATAATGTAAGGGTTGAAATCTGGTCCTCCTATTGGCAATCCTGCCTCCTTGTTAAAATATAAATATACGTTGGCTATCACAAATAACATTTTCTTTTACAGAAATGGTAATTTTCTTTTACCTCTGGATATACAAAAGATTTTGCTCCCATTGCCCAAGCTGCCAAGACTCTTTTACACACGTGAGTGTTATGTGGACGTTTTGTAGAAAAACAAGGACCAACGTAGATTGCTATATTTTCGGTTGCAGGGGCAATGCAATGAAATACCTCCATGTGGTGGACCAATCCTTCATTTCCTGTTTGGATCACCGGTTTATACTAAATGAAAGAAAAATCTGTACTAGGTAAATTAATTAAGTAAGAATACAATTTTTCTAATGATTTAATAATCGAATTGATTCCTAATGTAATTAACTTACTTCGACAATATGGTGTTTCCGTTTGAACTTTGACGGTAGTTTGTGAACGTGACACCAATAGGTCGTTTCATCTGATGGTACAGTCACTTGATCAGCTAGAATATCTAAAGAAGTACTTTCAGTGGGCAACTGTATATTTACCTCAATGTTTTTCAGTAGTTCTGTTCGTACCATCCCATTATTTTCTTTAGAAACGGTGATATTCAAGCCTTGTAATTTATATAGTTTTTCGTGGCCTCGGGACCAAACAATATGTACCGTACCGTCCTATAATTTCAGAGAAATATAAAATAAAAATTCTTTTTACCTATGACAGTCTTGCCTCGATTAAATAATCGTTCTTGTCACAAGTATCGAATTTTCTCTGGAATGAGAATTTCATTTTATTACCACGAATTATTTTCTTAAAACTTTTACAGTCTTGTTGTTCATCTGCAGTTAACTTTGCCTGGTCATCGGCCCATGCATCCTAAACATCGCAGTAATTAAGTGATTATTTAAAAGTAGAAGAGAGGAAACTCCTACTTCAAAATGAAGCTCATGTTTCCAATCGTACCACAAGACGCAATAATCTGCGGAAAAATGTTCTCCTCTGTCCGAAAATCCTATAGCAAACCATCCAAATTTAATGGGAATGTGAATTTCGAAAGTTACTGTTTTCAAAGGATAATCCACGATCCAGTCCAACGTTAGTTCACTTTTTTCGTCTAAGGGAATATGGTATATTTCTTTGTGAATTCTATTTGCTGCAAGGAATTAGATAATGTAAAATGTTATACGATAATAAGAACAAAGTATTTACTTGTTAACATTGGTGAAAAGGAATGAAAGAGAACAGCACAGCATGTTAATATTATTCGTAAATGAAGTACATTCATCCCTACGTGAATCAAAAGGACGTTCGGAATGAAATGAAACCGTTACCTATTCATACTGAAATTTTATTCCCAATTCCGCGCATGAAGAGTAGAAGTATTTAGATCGTTTTATTGAAATGGAAATTCTCTTAAAATTTTCGACTTTTAATTCAAATTATTATAATACACTCGATGTGTTTATTTGTTTTTTTCGAGACAAATATTAAAAGGATCATCGAATTAGGTATATACTGTGTAATAACGGTGTGTAATTTTTAATCACTGTTACCATCTAAGCGAAGCAGTTTTCGTGACTCGTAATTAAAACGGAAATTTAATAAAGACCCAATTTATTTCAATACATTCTAAAATGAATTTGAAAATGATTAATTACCGGTCGGCATTACATTTTATTAATGACAAAAAAAGGTTTTTTCAGATAATAGGCGTCTGATGTAGCCATTAATTATAAGTAATATAAAAAAACAATTTAATATGAATAAAGTTTATACGTATGATTCTGTTACTGGTATTGTTTTAAAATTTCAGAAACGAGGAATTTAATTTCGCAGAAATTGCCCCGACCCAGTTCAACGGGAGAAGGTATTTTGCCATCCATAACACGTTTTTCATTAGAGGGTGAATTCCGATGAAAATGTGATTTCGGAATTTGCTGAAATTATAGGATGATCAAGTTGTATATACATATACAGGGAGTCTCACAATCGAAAAAGAACGATATAATAGCAAGTACAGAACGTAAATATACTAAATTATCACATTGTTAAACGTTTTACTTAATTACTTAAAAAATGAAATTCCTTTTTTATTGTTTAGTTGGTAGTAGAATGTTTTTTTTATTTGTCAAAAAATCCGTCGAATAATGTCGCAAATACGTACAATTTCAAAAGTATACGCAAACGTTCTTAGCGAGAATGCGAAAGAGTACTGGAACTACGATACGTTTTCGCCTCAATACGATGACATCGATAACTTTGCATTAATTCGACGATTGGGTAGGGGAAAGTACAGCGAGGTGTTTGAGGCAGTGCACGTGCCAAGCGAAGAGCAAGTGGCAGTAAAAATACTAAAGCCGGTCAAGGAGCGGAAGATTAAACGTGAAATTAAAATTCTGGAGAACTTGCGCGGAGGTCCTAATGTTATCAAACTACTGTCGGTGGTCAACATGGACGATCTGCGATTGACAGCGTTGATTTTCGAGTGTCTTAACAACATTGATTTCAAACAGATCTATCTGAGACTTAATGAGTTCGACATTCGATTTTATTTGCATCAAGTGTTAAAGGCACTCGACTACTGTCATAGTAAAGGTATAATGCACAGGGATGTTAAACCACACAATATTATTGTCGATCCTACACAAAGACAGCTCCGCCTGATAGACTGGGGTCTTGCAGAATTTTATCATCCCGGTCAAAATTACAACGTGCGCGTCGCGTCCCGTTATTTTAAAGGCCCTGAATTACTAGTTGATTACGGTTACTACGATTACTCTTTGGATATGTGGTCTTTGGGATGCATGTTTGCCTCGATGATTTTCCGAAGGGAGCCGTTCTTTCATGGTTGCGATAATTGCGATCAACTTTTGCGAATTGTCAAAATACTCGGTACGATCGATTTTAATGCCTACCTGATGCGCTATAACATAAAGCTGGATACAAACTTTCGAGATATATTAGGATCGCATGCTCGTAAGAAGTGGGACCGCTTCGTTGATACGGAAAACGAATATCTCGTCAATGACGATGCATTTGATTTACTAGAATCGCTCCTGAGGTATGATCACATGGAGAGAATTACAGCAAGAGATGCCCTCAAACACAATTATTTTAAACCAGTCGTTCAAGTCACATCAGAATTGAATTCACGGTTAGTTGCTCTCACTGGAGAACAGGCTTTTAAACGTTACCAAGAGGAAGAGAGTTCCAACTCTTGAATAAATTTTATTACTTGGTTGCAATTTAAACTTACTTTAATATTAATAATATCTATCGTAACAACATTCTTCCGTTATTACTTATTTGTCATTTCGTCAGGACAAAAATACGAGTAATGTGTTTCTACTGTGGCATTATTTGTTTATTTCTTTTAGGACTAGATGCTTTATGATTGTAGTGATATACGTATAAAATATTTTGGTATTCACCCAGTATTTTATTTTACAACCTGGTCATAGGTTAGCTATATAGATAACAACTTGAAGGCCGAAAAAGTTGCGAAGAAGAAGTAAATTTCACTAACGTAACCTATTATCTATGAACATAACCTATAAATTTAAATCGTTGTGTAATTTAATAACAATTTTTTTGACACGAAGATTGGATTATTTNAGTACCCAGTGAACTTCAGGAAAGTCCAGACCACGGGCCGCCAAATCGGTAGAAAAAAGAATGGCAGACTGTTTACGGCAAAAAGTTTCGTAAATGTTCATTCTGCGCATCTGATGAAGAGTTCCATAAAGAGCAAGAACAGTCGTACCTGGTCTTAACCTAAAGAAAACAAGAAATAAGTAAAACGAAAAATTATTATCTATGAACATAACCTATAAATTTAAATCGTTGTGTAATTTAATAACAATTTTTTTGACACGAAGATTGGATTATTTCATTCATATTTACTTAATCGATAGTCTGCGTGGTATGTTTAAAAAGTAAATTTAAAGTACATAAAACAAAAGAATTAATTTTAATGTCGTACATGACATACAGTCAGAAACCTTTCACTCCCGTTCCTCCAGACAAAGGAAGTTTTCCGTTAGATCACGAGGGTATTTGCAAAAAATTAATGGTAAAATATATGAACTGTTTGCGTAAAACCCATAGCGATAATTCACAGTGCAGAAAAGAATCGAAAGAGTATCTTGCGTGTCGAATGGAAAACAATCTTATGGCCAAAGAGGACTGGTCAAAGTTAGGATTTACAGAAATGAAAACAGAATCGGAATAGCTAATTAATTAATTCAGAAGCCTTGTTAGTTTTATAAGATGGTAAATGTTTTGATTGGATGCACAGGAAGTGTGGCCACAATAAAATTACCAAATTTAATAAATATGCTTAAAGAAAGCCATAAGGATTTGAAGAGTAATATAGAGGTAGATGTTATACAGTGAAACTCAAATTAATATTATAGCTATTTTTATTGATTAATAAACTTAGGTAAGGATAGTTGTTACTGAAGCAGCAAAACATTTTATCAGTAAAAATGAATTGCCAAGCAACATAATAGTATATGAAGATGCTGATGAATGGTCTGCATGGTCGAAACGCGGAGACCCTGTACTTCACATTGAATTGGGCAAGTGGGCTCATATTTTTTTAATTGCACCTTTAGATGCAAATACTTTAGCAAAAATATCAAACGTATGTGTATACTACATATTGCATTTAACATAAATCCTTTGTCACAAATTTGTAGGGCTATTGTGATAATTTATTAACATGTGTGGCAAGAGCATGGGAAAGAAGAAAACCCCTAATATTTTGTCCAGCCATGAACAGCAGGATGTATGAACATCCATTGACATCAAAACAAATTTGTCAACTTAAGACTTGGGGTTATTATCTTGTTCCAGTTGTTGAAAAGACTTTAATGTGTGGAGACACAGGAACTGGTGCAATGGCTGAAATAAATACCATTGTTTCAACTGTCCAAACCTTCTTTACATAAGGGTACCAACATTATATATTAGTAATTCTTGTTATTAAAGTACAGTAATTTTTTGTTGATAAATTATCGCGAAATAGTTTTCAGTGTAAGCAGTATTTTATTAATGAATTAAAAAAACAGGAAGCTGCTAGGAAAAGCTGTACAATTCTGAATTCTAATTTTTAAAACAAGTTGTTATAAACCATTTTTATGCTATTTTATTTGATTTAATGTACTTATTTTTTATTTAACAGCAGAAGTGCTAACTCTTCAGCTTCATTTACAGAAAGGCTCGAACTAATTCCTTCCAAGTCTATTTTTGCTTTTTTTGACTTCACTTCACTGTTTTTCTTCAGTTTTATTGATTTTCGTTTTTTGCACCTATTAAAAATAACAATTATACATGCATCCATTTGTCTGTTAAAATAATTAAAAGAAGAGGTACAAACCCTTTTTGTGGTAGTACAATCTGTTTCAGTGCCTCTACCACGTATTCTGAATTATTATCTTTTTTATTGGTACCATCTTCTTCTTTATTTCCATATATTTTGTCAGGATCTGGAAGCCAGGTCAAGTCAAGTTGTTCTTCCTCAGAGTTTGTTTCGAAACCGTCCTTTTCTTCTTCTTCCTCTCGACGTTGCTGCGTCTGTTGCTTTAATTTCATCTTCTTTTCCTTATGTTTAGCTTTAACTTTCTCCTTAAATAGTTGTTTATCGAACTTGTCCTCCTCTTTGAGTACTAACTTTGCCTTTTCCAAATCGATTCCTCCCAGGTCCTCGTTTTCGTATTCTCGAGCTATTTCCGATCTCTTTTCTTTCATCGAAGACACAACAGCTTCTCCTTCGTCGTCAAAAATGATCTTTTTATTTGGCATAATTTTTTTACGAAGCAACTTTTTAGCTGCCGCTGCTTTGGTCACCACCCTAGTTTTCTTCTTTTTGTCCTCTCCCTGGTATTTGTCCTGAATAAAATCTATTTTCTCGGAGATTTCCAACTCGTGATTGATCCTTTTCACTCTTAAAATTCCATCGTCATCACTATCATCGTTGTCGGACACGTAAAAAGGGACTTTATCTTCAGACACAACGTTTTGATCGTCTACATCAGCCTTGTTCATTGTTCTATCGTTAGATTCTGCGTAGTCGACCTCTTGTTTAATATGTTCCTGTCTGTGGGGCTCTTTTTGCTTTACGGCAACACGTGCATTGTGTCTCTGTAAAAATCGTATTCGAGGAGCAACAGCGAGTCCCAACGATCTGGAATAAGCATCTGTATCTAAGGTTTGCACGTCAAATACCTTTTTGTTTTTCATTAAAAAAATGTACTTAATGTACGAAACGAAAGCTCTTTGAGCGGATTCTTTTAACGAAGGATCTTTGGCTAAAAATGCTTCCATCTTTCTTACAGGATTTTGTAACTTATTTGGATTAATTCTGCAATTGAAAAAAACATAAATAATTTTTAAACTAATTATCACAAATTAAAAATGTAACTGACTCTATTTTGTTAATGGGGACTTTACGCTGATTCAAGGCCTCAATCATGCCTTCTTCTTCACTGGGGAGAAGAAGGAGCAAACTTTCGCCTCCTCGGAAGTATCTGGCAGTTCTTCCCACTCTGTGAACATATGTGGCAGAGTCTTCAGGACAATCGGCTTGCAGTACCCAGTGAACTTCAGGAAAGTCCAGACCACGGGCCGCCAAATCGGTAGAAAAAAGAATGGCAGACTGTTTACGGCAAAAAGTTTCGTAAATGTTCATTCTGCGCATCTGATGAAGAGTTCCATAAAGAGCAAGAACAGTCGTACCTGGTCTTAACCTAAAGAAAACAAGAAATAAGTAAAACGAAAAATTAAACACAATATTACAGAAAAACTCACTTGCAAAATATTTCATACATGTACTTGACTTGTTTGCAACTAGAAAAAAACACTATACATTTCTTCTTAAGATGATTCCTGATAAAGCTCCATACAATAGGCACCTTTTCATGCAGTTCACATACAACATAGCTCTGTTGTAGCCCCTCAGGGGTGCTGTGTTTGTGTTTTTCATGTACAGACACATAAGAAGGATCTTTTAAACTGAGTCTTGCTAAATCTCTGATTGATTTGGTTTGTGTGGCAGAGAACAGTAAAGTTTGTCTTTTGAGGGGTAAATTAGCGATAATTGCATTCATAGTTTCCTCAAAACCCATATCAAGACATCGATCAGCCTCATCCAAAACTAGTACCTGAAAAATAATCAAATAGGTATACACAACTACAATTATAAAATAAATTACCTTCATATTGCAACAGTCAAAAAGAGGATTTTCATCCATGTGTTGAAGTAACCTTCCTGGGGTACAAATTATGATGTTACATTGGTCCATTCTTTTCCTTTCAAATTTTAGGTCTTTTCCACCTATGATTAAACCTACAGAAAAATCGTGATACCTTCCCACTTTACGAATTGTCTCAAAAATCTGATAAGCAAGTTCTCTTGTTGGTGTTATTATTAAAGCTCCTAAACCATCTAATCTGGTCCACTGTAAACAAAACAAGGTCTCTAAGACAGGTAAAAGGAATGCAAGAGTCTTTCCAGAACCGGTTTGAGCGGCTCCTAAGATATCCTTTCCTTGAAGGGCTAAACCAATAGTTTCCCGTTGTATATCACTTGGAATTCTATAATTGCTCTCATTTAGACCTTTTAGTGTGTTCTTGGATAAAGGAAGATCACTAAATTTTTCTATTTTGCTGCCACAGATCTAAAATAGTTTATTTTAATTAAACTATGTAATGAAAAATACCACTTTAAAAATTTACCTCATTATATCGTGTCTTTAATCTCTCGATTACAATTGTTGCAGGAACAGCTTTTTTCTGATTTGAAGAATAAACTTTTACTTTATTTTTTTTTTTTTTATTGGAATGTGCTTTGTTTTCGGTCATTTGTTACAGTATTTCTTCTTAAAAATTCCTTAAATTTATTCGAAAGCACATGGAAGTGCAGTTACCAAACAACTGTCAAACTTTTAGGTTAGCTTCGTAGAAGAATTAGGTTATGTTTTTTGTTTTTCCTTAAATTTCGCTAATCATTGTCTTAAAAGTACGTTAATTTTTTCAAGTTCAAACGAAAATCTTGAAAGTCAATATAAACATAAATTGAAAACGATTAGTTATACTATTAATTTCATATGTGCTTGTGATGGAATCTAATAAAAGTGTAATTGTTTTGGCACCTAATGGACGTAGACAAACAGTGAAAGTTACTCCGAATACAACAATATTACAAGTATACACTCGATATTTTTAAAATACTTATATGCTTTCTTACTAATAATTGCTGTTTACTTTAAGATAATAGAAGAAGTCTGTAGAAAACAGGGCTATGAAGCTATTGAGTATGACATTAAACATCACAGAAAAATTCTTGATAGTACATGTGATGTTCGTTTTTCTGGCCTTCCAAACAATGCCCAGTTGGAATTAGTTAAAGCACAAAAAGTAAGATCAGAAAGCCCAGTCATAATAGGAATTCAAATGGAAGATGGAGCCCGTATTACAGGCGAATTTCAACCCAACAACACAATAATGGATATTCTAAAAGAACTGTGCCCAGAACATATAAATCCAGATACACATCCTGTTGTCATTTATACAAGAAGGGAGATTTATGGACTGCAAGCTCTTCAAACTACTACTCTTAAGCAGTTAGGATTGACCGGTGGCAGAGCAATTTTGAGACTAATACACAGGTTTCATTTTTTCTTTATTACATCGTGTGTTAGAATTTTGCAAAAATTATTATCTTTAAAGGTCACCAGAGCAATTAAAAACACAAGCAAATATATCTGCCCCATTACTACACACCACAAAAGTAGCAGAGGAGGAACATTATGTAAAAAAACGAAATATTTCAGACATTTCACCTCCAAGAACTGAGTTCCATGAAAATAAAGACAAACAAGCAACAACATTACCCCAACCACTGCCCATGCCAAGACCTGATGATAAAATCAAACCAAAAGATGTTGTAAATTTGATAAAGCAAGAAAAAGAGAAGCAGCATAGCATACAAGATTCTTCTAGGAAACATCATGATATCTCGCCCAGTCTCACATCTGGGGAGAGATATCATGGTCATGCATTTGAAAATTATAAAAATACTACAGAAAATAAAACATTTAAATCAAATTTAAACTCAACAATCCCATCCAATCAAATAGAAAGAATGGATATTGAACCAGGTGCTTCTAATGATAGAACAATGGATGAAGATTTTGTTTTTGTATGTTCATACTGAAACGAATTGCAATTCTTTAAGTTTTTTTTTTTATAGCTCGGTGACAGAAATGCCATAGCTTTTTCCCAGGAGATGGCTCAAGCAGTTCGATCAGAAGACTTGCCTGATGATTTCTTCGATCTGACAATAACGGACGCAAAAAAATTGATAAGGGACATAAAAAGAACAAGAATGGAACTGGAAAATAAATACTTGGAAACGAAAGCGATGCGATCGCTCAGAGAGTCGCAAAAACAGTTAACGGCTCTTCACAAATATAAACAGGCGATTATCAGGGTTGTTTTTCCAGATCATACCGTTCTGCAAGGAACGTTCACCCCCACGGAGACCATCGCTCATGTTACAGACTTTGTACGAGACTACCTCGAAGACAAGTCTATACACTTTTATCTGTGTAGGTCATTACAAAATGTTTAAGGCAAAAAAATATAAGTAGTCATATTTATTGTAGACACTACACCACCCAAACAGGTCCTTCATAAAGAAAGTAGACTGATAGAAACAGGTTGTGTTCCAAGTGCCATTGTTTATTTTGGAACTGAAACCCCCAGACAAGATGGAAAATATTTGAAAAGGAATGTTCTATGCAGATTGATATCGCCATCGAAGGCAAGTACTGCTACCGAAAAGATGAGGTGCGAAAATACATATGTATGTTTTTTTCGATATCATTTAAAAACAACCTCTTTTAGAAAAGAATCAATACGTGCGATACCCGAAGAAGGATTAACAGATAGCACTTCCGCCGAAGATATCATCAGCTTTGGCCCCAGCACCAGCTCTGGTGTTCAGAACTATACAGACTATCCACCGCGTTCTCCTAAGCCTCTCCAAAAAACTCCGAAATGGTTTAAAATTGCAAAATGACCTGTTGCAATCTTTTCTATTGTGATTACTAATATAATTAAAACGTCGTTGTCTGTGAAACGTGATGGTTTTGCGTTAAGGTAATTTTATTTCATTACATCGAATACAATATAGATAAAATATATATAAAAAAGGAGCAGTACATAATTAAAAATACATATTCAAACAATTGTCATAACAATTTTATACTTATTAATCAATTAGCGTTTTATCTATTTTCTTTTGCTTGCGTTTTAAATTAGTGTTTGAAGAGCAACGACGCATTCAGTAATTCTATTTCTTGTTTTTCATACACAGTTTATGAGATTTGTTATAATGTTTTGTGGCACCGTAGAAAACATTTTATTGCTGAACTTATGTTGTATCAATGTCCCTGTTCTTTCTGTCCTTTAAGTTAACATTAGCTAAATTTACCCCCATGGGACCAAGCAGGTTACTGGCAGGTCCTGCTTCTCCCATTTGTGCCCGGTAACTTTCCAAGACATTCTTGAGCGCGTTTAAATTTATATCAACAGGACTGAAGTCCTCTACATCATCAAAGTTGGTTTCTTCGTCTTTTGTGGATTCTTGTTTAACGAAACTTCGCCCTACTGAAGTCCCAGCCAGCTCCTTATCCATCAGATCCATATACTCTTTCATTTGGCTTTTAAAACTCCCACATTCGTCCTTGTGAACGCTTTCTTCGTCCGCGTAAACGCTCAAGTCCGAGTCAGATTCCAAGTCCCAGTTATCCTCAGGAATGACTAAGTCCAACATGTTCTGTACCGCGCAAGAAAACGCATTAGCATCGAAATTAATCGTAGAGTCTCCGGTAGATAAAGAGGTCTTGCCTTTTCCCTTCTCTATTTTTTTTCCTCTGGAAGGCGGCATGGGTGCCTCCGTCAATTTATTTTCAGGAAATTCTGCCCCGTCAATGTCAGAAACGTGATTGAGGAAGGATTCTATTTTATTCGAAAGATCGTATGTGTTAGAACTGCCTAACGATCCATAATGTTCCATTAACAAGTTGTCAAGCTCTTTTGGGTCAATATTTAACCAAGAATCGGAATCTTCTTGGAAACTTTTATCTTCTTGAGAAAAGTCTTCAATATTGCAATGTAGATTTTTGACTAGATTAACTACACGTAATCCTACGTCACCAGGGGTCGGTATTAAATTTTTAAACGAACGATAATACGCTTCTGCTTTATTTAACAAATTATTATAAGCTACAGAATGTTCCACAGTTCCATTAAAATAACCCTTATTATTTAGACCCTCAACAAATTTTGACCAAACTTTGTCATTGTCTAAATCTGAATCTTGTTTAGCCTGAGAAGCCAAGATTTCAAATCCACAAGCAATCTGAAATAATTATACTATTAATAAATCATTATAAATAATTAACAAATGCACACACCTTCACCCCCAACAAATGCTTCTTATATTCTGTTGAATTAGGCGATGGTAAGCTCCATCCTGTTCTTTTATCAGGTGTATACTTGCTATGAGTTAACATTGCATACAAAAATTTTGTCATCACTATACTGATATAAACGCGGTTTTCTGGTGGAAAGAACTTCATAGCTCTGCAAGCTTTCATGTCGATACTATCACGAAGGCAAAAAGCACGAACGGCATGTGAAATCATACGGGGTTGATTTTTTAAAATTGCTGCAACTCCTACTGGCACATAAGCTATAGTTTTGTGTAGATTTTCGGACATTCTTTCTGGATAATTACTAATGCGATGCAGTACCGCATTTTGTATTTCTGGCGAGGCTTCCGTTTTTCGAGGATTCTCCGCAATCATCTTAATAGTAGAATGTATATTGATCTCTGCTTCATTCTTGATAGACCTGACTAAATGTACACTACCCTGGTAAATGTACACCTGCAAAACAATAACAGTAGCATTTATAGACATTTATGAATAGACAAGTGCTACTGTCAAGCAATTTTAACACAAAAGTAAATAATTAAACGTCAAAAATAACAAAAATACTCACTCTTTTATTACATGTTTCAGGCTTTGCCCAATTTGGTAAATGATTAGCAGCTTCAATAAGTAAAAATTCACCATCTGAATCAACAACTCTAATGCATACATCTGATATATCTTTTGTAATTTGCAACAACAAATAAACTGTGAACCACTCATCTTCAATATTTTCCCCATAATGTAAAATACCATAGAGATGAGGGGGCAAAGCTATCAGAAAATTTAAGTTATCTTAAGAAATAATAAACTAAAAATTACTTACAGTTATAATCATCTTTTAAAACATGACACTCTGGAAACTGAGTTATAACTTTAAATTCATCCAAATGCCATATATAACCAGCGGAATACTTGTCTACGGTTGTCTGAACGTTTATCAAGAGGTCCGTTAAATGATTTTCCTTTTCTTCTAGAGGAAATATAAAGTATTCCACAAAATCATCTCGCACATTTTCAGAAAAAGCCATAACTATCTTATTTTTAAGGGACATCAAAATTACTTTAGTTTACCATTTATTAACAAACACTTTGTTTGATAAAAGAAATATGAGTATGGTTATTTGGTTATGTCAAAAACATAGATAATGTCATAAAAGAATAAGAAACTCATAGACATATATTAGGAAATGTCCATGAAGACACTCTCAAAATCTCTATAAGCTCACATAGATGTCTTTTTTATTTTTATGGTTATCAAAAGAATGTAATTTAATCACGTACTATTAGAGGTAGTAATAGATTAGTATCGATCTGTGGGGTAGTCAGCTAATCAATTCAATATTTTTACTTCTCGAACTACCTTCAGTAGAGTTTACCCTATACATATCTATTATCTATGAGTAGTATAACGTCAAACCTTCACAGTCTTACATAACCTAAAACTTCTGGTGAAGTTTAAATCAACAAAAACATAAAAATCAAAAACATATTTAGTAGTAATGAACTGTAATTATAATATTGATAATTAGAATACTAAAATGTCTCAGTTTTCGGGTCCTGAAATTAAACATACTCTACGAAAGTTAGAATTTCCTGTATGCTCCAAAGAAGCTCTCTTAAAAATTGGTCAGTAAATTTATTGTGGATTAAAACTTAGTAATTTGTTATTTATTTGATCCTACTTGTGTCTACACAGTCAGGAATATATAATACAGTGGTTTCCTTCTTAAGGTCAGTTAACATGTGGCCGAGTTCCAAGTATAAAACACATGGATTTAGCACTTGATTTAATGGCAGAATTCATTTTCCATGAAGTGGATAGAAGAGGAAACAAAAGGACACTTCCACTGACCACAATGCAAGAAATACAACTAGTAGAAGTTCTTTATGATTACTTTAATTCAGTCAATAATGATACTGCTAGAAATTCTGTATTTTTATCTTTATTTAGTGGTACAACGGCAATTATAAGGTCTGGAATATTAAGCAAACTCGTATCGATGGCAATAGGTATTCCGTCCCATTTTATTCTGATATCAGCAAGTACATTAATGCAACAACTTGGCAACACATCTCCAAACAGTTATAGGCTTGCTAATGCTTTGGTTAAAGATTATTTCGTTTTAATGCCCAATTCATCAAAGCAACTTCATTTGGTACCAAGATTAGCCCCACAATTTGCATCCAATTTCTTAACTGCTGTTGCTGATATATATTTTGCTGACGTTAAAAAAGGACCTCTCATATTTCCACCTGCCACTTTATTAGAAACAATAACAGATTGGGTAAATAATAAAAAACATGTAAGCAGTACAATAGAAATCTTAATGAATGATTTTTTTATAAAGGTTAGTGAAAATACCCAGCTCTGTGTGGCCGCTCAGCAGACTCAATCGGCTCTACCACCCGGTGCAATAGCAATGGAGGCTACTACACCATTTGCTGGTTTACTTAAGTGGTGCATACTAGCCCCAATTTATAGGCAGACCTCTGAAATATATGGAAAGTTACATCTAGGTTTGATAGAAAATATGCTTGAAATTCCACATTCTAATCCACCACGGGCCATATTTGCTCAACATTTAATAATCTCAATAGGAAATATTTGTAGGTATGCTGTGGATCTTCAAAACAGATCAAGAAAAAGTGACCCAACTGAAAGGCAAAAGATGTTTTTAGAAGATACAGCCCTTCATTTGTGCCTTGATCGTTTTGCACAGGCCATTCAAATTGCCTTAAGCGTTAATTGTGTATATGGAAATATTGGCGACATGATTAATCAATTAAAGCAGTTGCCATTTAATAAGTTAATGGCAATTGTTATTAATTCGTATAAGAATAAAACGTGATCTTTTTTGTACTTTATTATTATTTGAACTTTTCGACAGTTATTAGAAGTTTTGACTTCATATGGTATGTGAATGACAACTTAAAGTTTATTAATTCTTCTTAAATTAAAAAATTACGGTATGGTAATTTTCTGCAAACGAACATCTCTTTTGCCTTTTACCATCAGAGGGCGTGAATTGTTATGATACTTTACCAATACTTTACTATTCACCGAAAGGAAGCGTAATCTCGCAATTCAACTAGATCATAGATTAAACTATATTCAACATGGTCCGAAAAGGTAGCCCCTCAAGATTTTTTTTTAATTTGTCTTATTTAATCATTCGCTTGTTCGTCTTTCATTTACTTATGCAACATTAAAAAGTATTTTTAATATTTTTATTGAATCGGCATATCAATGAGTAATGCCAGAGAAGAGAGGTAATGCGCAAACGTCTATGGTAAACGTCATCAGACGTATAACCTTAAACTTCAACGTGAACGGGGTATCATGGATTACAGATTTATAATTATAATTAGGAAGTGATAGTTGTATATTAAGAAAAATCACAAAAACATGTTTTACGATCATCTAAAACGAATATCGTTACGATTATTTACAAGAAATGTTTATCGCAAAAATGTTTACAATTGGAGAGATGAAGGAATACATTACCCAGGTTTCAAATATTATCCCAGAAATACCGATTTTAAAGATCCACCGTATGAGCCAACCAAATTATTTATGATACAAAGAATCAAACCACTGAAAGGATGTCCCCACTGGGAGAAAAGTTTCCTAAAAGATTTTAAATTAAATGGGAAAATTAGTGATATTGCCATTGTTAAGAACATACCAGAAGTTAATGCAAAGTTGTGGCGAATTAAACATTTAATAAAAGTTGTTCCAATAACTTTCCCAAATGGACCACCTACTGAAAGTAATGGAACCTTTTTAAAAGAAAATGGGGAACTTGTCGTTACTAGAAAACTTGAACCACTTAAAGAGAAGTTAGATGCAACTGAAAATTTCCAAATGAACCCTAGGAAAATGGACGGCGACACTTTAAGAAGGCGAATGTTAAAGAAATGGCTAACTGCATGGGATACCACTATGTAATATAGTCTGAATTCTTTAGTTTTTAAAAAAAAATTATTTGTTCTTTTCTGTTAAGCCTTTCTATTAGTTTTATAATCACAACTTAAAAAGACAAGTAAATAATACATGATTAATCACATCTCCATGGGGTTTCCACTTCATCTGTTCTATACCTTTGCATTATAAATGTTTCTAGCCAGGGGGTTTTAATACCACATCTAAACATTTCAGACCCTGCCTGAGCAATCATTACTCCATTATCAATGCAAAATCGTTCATCTGTAGCAAAAAGTTTGGCACCCCTTTCTTCACACATAATTTTCATCATTTCTTGCAGCCTTAAATTGCATCCAACACCTCCCACTATGAGGACTTCAGAAGAATTACAGTGAGCAAGAGCTCTTTCGGTTATTTCAATTAGCATGGCAAACACTGTTTCTTGTAATGAAAAACAAAGGTCTTCTTGAGAATGGTCATCAGTTAACAATTTATCTGCATACTCTTCTACATATGTTAAAATTCCTGAAAAGCTAACATCCATTCCTTTAACACAATAAGGCAGTGGTATATATTGTGTGCCTTTAATTGCCATTTGTTCTATGTTAAAACCTGGACTGGGATCATTAGATAATTTTAATATTCTTGCAAAACGATCTAGGCAATTTCCTACAGCTATGTCAATTGTTTCACCAAATATCCTGTACCGCTTCCGTGAATAGGCTATTACTTGAGTGTTTCCGCCGCTCACATATAAAACTATAGGATTATTTGCACCTGTTATAAGTCTTCCCATTTCTATATCTGACATACTGTTTAGAAAACTTTCATTATTTTATTATAGACAAAAAGCTGCAAAAGATGAAAAGGATACGACCTATGCAGTGATTTACGCCAAGTAAAGGTTTGTTCCATAATTGAGCAACCGTCCTTGCCACTATAGCTACAGTATTTAATGGGCCCCCCATACCAGGACCCTTTGTAAAACAAACTACGTCGATATCGTTTATGTTAATCCCAGACTGTTTAAGAGCATCGTTTAATACTTTTAAAACATAATTTCTGTGATGTTGTACTGTTTCTCGTGGCAAAAAGCCTTGCCCAGGTGGTGTTATGTAGGTTCGCCGACTATTGGATAACACTTTACCATCTTTAACAACTCCTACCCCTAGTTTATTTGCACTCCCTTCAAAACCGATTGCCACCACCATTTTTAAATTACTAATCAATGTTATTAATTTTTTTATTTATTTAAATGAACCCACTTTTATATTCTAGGTTAAATGTAAACCATAGAAGAACTACATGTACGCGACAACAACCACAACCATCGACGTTTACTAATGGACGTGCCTTAGTGGTCAGAATTGTGGTACAACAAAAGAAAGAGATGGAACGAAGTTTCGGACAATATCCATCTCTCTCACGATAGTGCGTTAGCGTGTCATGAAAGAGATAGCACTACTTCGAAATCATACGTCATCTCCCTTACTTTTCGAGCCAAGAAATTATTTAAACGACATACGGCTAAGGCACGTCCATTAATATATGTCTATAGCCATAGCCGAGTATTTGTTTTTGTTTGATAGTTGCATAGATATAGAGTCTATGGATAGTCGTAATTATCTATGGTGTAGTTGTTTAGATTTAGACATAGAATATATACTTAGCTACTTTGAAATTTAGCTACTTGGCAACATCAATACGTATGATCAATACGCCTGGGGTCAATAAATCATAAATTTTTTACATAAATCGACGGTAGTATTGTATCAGCGGTATTAATAAATTCGATTGTTAGCGTGTTTTACAAAAATGTTTTTCAAGTAGTGCTTTTCGTTTTTTGATATTACTAATCTGCTGATCTGTTTTATATTTTAAACGTCAATTAACTAAGGTAAAATAAAAACATGAGTGCTGGACGATGTTATGGTATAATAAAGTATCTTATGGTTGCTGTGAATCTTATCTTTTTTGTAAGTTTTATTTTTAAATCGAATAGTAAATATATATGGAAAGAATTGCATAGTTCAAACCGTTTCTGAAAATGAGCTATATCTTAAAGAATGACACATGGTTTTGATTACATAATATGGTAGATTAAATTGTAAACAAATGCAATGATGAAACAAAGGGCTTTTTCCTATTTAAAGGATTTAAAATTCATTCCATAATTTTTAGATACTAAGCGTTGGCATAGTGGTAATATCTGTTTGGATGTTAGTAGACCCTACATTTTACATTTCTTTAACTCAAGATTCTGGCAATTATCAGATATCTACTTACATTTTTTTATTCACTGGTCTTCTGTTATTACTTGTATCATTTTTGGGATGTTATGGAGCTTGCAAAGAATCTACTTGTTTACTTGTTTCTGTGAGTATATATTTTTTTCTAAAAACAAATATAAACTCATAAATAAATTGTTACAGTTTTTCTCATTTTTATTAATTATAATTGTCGCACAAGTGGCAATAGGTATTTGGGCTTACACAAACTCAGATACTTTAGAAAAGTATGTACGATATGCTGTTAAGTCTATAGTACAAGAAGAATATTATGTGAATGATCAACGTAAAGCTCTATTTGATGACATCCAAAGAGGCGTAATTAGTTATTTTTATTTGTAACGGTTGCATTTTTATTTTATGTTATATTTTAGTTAGAATGTTGTGGTGCAGATCGACCTAGTGACTGGAATCCGAGCTCTTTTAGTAGAGTTAATGTGACAATTTCATCAGATACGAGCATATACAAAATTCCCACTTCATGTTGTCGTATGGATATGGACAATTCTGACTGTTTAAAAGGACATATGACTACTAAAATAGGTGGCCAAATAGATTATGACATCATATTTCGAGAGGGCTGCACAAATAAACTGATAAACAGATTATGGTATTATGTGAATACTGCCTATACAGTAGGACTTGCTGCTGTTGTCATCGAGCTGTTAGGATTAATATTTTCGACAATTTTAGCTTGTGGTGCCGATCGATCCTCACGTTACAAGGCATAATAAATCCTTTGACGTTTCTTTACCATGAAAAATAACGAATCTCCGTCTCAAATTGATTAATATTTCTTACTGCCTCATTAAAAGCAAAAAGATATATATTTTTTCTGTTTAAAAGTGCAAATTTTTACATACATAAGTAACATTAATGTTATATTCAATTAACTCATTTAATGCTTGTGTAAATTAATTCTTTTGTATATGTACTTTAACATTCTTATTGCATTTTAATACTAATAACGTGCCTTTTTGTGACTGTGGAATGTTTTATAAATATTTTCAATAGGACTTGCAGAGAGGAAATTATGAAATATCGTTTTTAAAAGTTAATTAAATGAAACATGCACACAATACGTTTTCAAATGTTTCAGTTACGTTTTATTCAAATACTACTTATGTTTCTACCTTCTAAGTCTGTTTACTTGTGATGATTTAGAAGGTCGAAGCATTTAAAGTTTTAAATAAAATATAACCGAAAAATTTAAAAGCATTTTTGTGTACTTTCTCAAATAAAAATTATTTTTGTAGATGTTCTGATATTATTCTGTACTTGAAGCTTAATAGATTAGCAATAACCCGTTTTTGTCACTGTATGTTTGTATTAGTAGGTATAATTTATTTATTTATTTTTAGTAAAAAGGCTACAATATTAACTTGCATAAAATTTAAAACAATAAAATTTGTTCGATAATTTGTGCCTTTTTATGGGGTAAATTCCTAGAGTAATTTCAGTATTATTTCCATTGTGAATAAACTTCCCTTTAAAGGTTAGGCAAATTTAATACAAAGTTGTTATTTTTGATTATGTTTGATAACTATTTTTATTATAATTGATAAAAACTACAAACACAAACAACGTTTAATTCATGATAGTGATAACTTCCTAAAGGTAGAATTTCGGATAATATATCGCAGTATAAGTTCATTTGAAATGATGACAGCCATTTGATATCTGTTATATAATACGAATATTCTCTTTAGATTATGTGAGGTTAGATTTTGCTCATATATTCATAGATGTATAATACTTGCGTTGTTTGTTGGCTTCCGTTTCCTTTCTGTAAAGTTTGTGTTGCTGTTTAATCATCATGAAAGCCAAAGGAGAGGTTTGTATATCGCTTATGCTTTTTTGATATAACAATATTATTGTGATGGTATTGTTATTAAATTACATTTCTAAATATTTAATTATACATTCTAAAATGGTACATGTGTACCAAGTACAATACATATTTTTGTGGCACGTGTACGCACTGTTAACCTTTCTTTTTTAGTTGAAGGAATATGAAGTTATCGGTCGTAAATTACCAACGGAGAAAGAAACCACAACTCCTTTATACAAAATGAGAATATTTGCTCCCGACCCTATTGTAGCCAAATCCAGATTTTGGTATTTTTTACGTCAGCTAAAGAAATTCAAAAAGTCAACTGGTGAAATTGTATCTGTGAAACTAATTCCCGAAAAGACTCCCATTAAGATAAAAAATTTCGGCATTTGGCTGAGATATGACTCCAGGTCTGGAACGCATAACATGTACAGAGAGTACAGGGATGTCTCTGTGTCGGGTGCAGTAACACAATGTTACAGAGATATGGGTGCACGCCATAGAGCTAGAGCTCATTCTATTCAGGTATAATTTTGCATAAGAAAAAAGGTTATAGTAATTAATTCCTGTTTCTTTAGATCATTAAAGTAGAGGTAGTTAAAGCTGCCGTTTGCAGAAGACCACAAGTAAAACAATTCCACGATTCAAAAATACGTTTTCCACTCCCTAAACGTATTCAAGGAAGTCGCAAATTGAACAGGTTTTCAGTTCGTAAACCGAGAACATACTTCCTTTAAATCATTTAATAATGGCAAGAAATATATTAACTGAGAAATCTTTTTTTTGTTTTTACTTATCTATTTTTGATACATTCCGAAAAACCCTGTTCCAATTAGCAATAATTTTATATATTGTGTTTTATTAACCTTTATATTAATATAGTAATATTTCTAAGGAGATGATAGTAGTGGTGTATTTACCTAGTCTAGGTGTAATACTCCTTTAATTCGTCTATAGATCAAATTTATTCTAATTTAAAATGATTTGACACATATTGAATTTAGAAAATGTCCATATAAAAAACTAAACGTAATATATTTAAATGATACTTTATTAAATATTCACACTATAGATACAACTGATTTACAAAAGTAAAATAGAACAACTGCTAATGACTACAAAATTTGTAACTGTCAGTTTTAAACAGTATTTATTAATTAAATGTTTCCTGGAAAAGTACCAGCTTCTCGCTGACCATCCCATTTTTCAATCCATGCATTTGGGCATATGGAATTGTAAACTTTTTTGAAATATTCACAGGGAGCATATTTTTCTCCTTTCACCTTTCTACAGCGATAGTAGTCAATATAGCTTTGGAAACAGTAGCGTGTCTGATTTGTATTAGGAAAACGAGGATCAAAAGGGGCAGTTTGGAGAACACCTTCTACTGCTGTAGACATACTTGCTGATTAACTAAAGTTATAAGCTGAAAATCCAAAATTAATAAAATAATTCTCATTAACAGAGTTTAACTTTTGGTTTTACAAATAAAAACCATGTATTACAGTGTGGGCTTAATCTATACTGAATTAAATATTAAATTAAAAAGGAAAAAAAGCAAAATAATACATTTTTTTTGAAAATTTTCATTTTCACATTATACATGATTATATGATGAATTTGACAATGTTCATCCTATTAAATTTTTGTATATGTAGTACACATTCCGATCTTTAAATTCATTACCATGTACCCTTCAAATAGTCTGTGATATAATACCATTAATCAACAAATAAAGCCCTTACTTATTAAGTTGATAAAAATTACCTGGAACTCTATTACACAGGTGATGCTTTCATTACAGCTTACACTTAATTTCAACGTTAAAAAAAAATTATTTCACAAGAGGTCTTGTCTTCGAGTCATCATCACAGCATGCTTCCTTGTATCTTTTTACTTCCTTCATATAAACTGACCAAGCATCTTTAGGATCAGTGAAGTCACTTTCAGTAACTGTTCTTGTTTTTTGTACCATTCCTGTTTTTAAGACACGGCCGCCTCGTCTTTTGCCGAAAGCAGGTGGTATAAATGGCTTATCAAGCACTTCAGCATCATTTGTTTTCTTCGCGGCTTCTGCCACTTTTTGTTCTTCTTGCATCTTTTTAAACATTTCTAGAAAGGAGCCATCATTTTTAAACATATTCTCTTTTGTTGGAGTGTCTTCATCGTCATCTTCATCTCCAGATTGTTGTCTATCACCAGTAACATTTCGATTATATTCAGAATCATGAGAATGAGAACTACGGGAACTATGACTTCGATGGGGATTATGACGGAAATACTTGCGCGACTTTGATCTACTGCGTGATTTTGATCTTGGTCTTTTTGATGAGGAATGTTTGTATCGCTTTTCATTATGATGTCTTCTCCTGGAACTGCTACGGTTGTAGGAATGAGATCGAGACCTGCTGGATTGTTGGCGGCGATGCTCATGTAAACGAGACCGTTTTTGTTGGTCGTGAGACCTGCTACGACTTCTTTTTTTATGTTTATGCCTTCTACCACAATCTCGTGATGTGTCTTCATTTCTCCGGCGGTGTCGTGAAGGAGATTTGCTTCTTCCATGTTTGTGGCGCCTGACGTCATTATTTTTAGTTCTGATTGATTCAGAAAGTGAATCAGGTGATTCTATAACGTCTAATGATGAATAATTTAGGCAGTTCTTAAATAATGAAGTTGTTGCATGGGTATCCACCGTAGTTTCACCGTCGGTTGATTCTGTGCCAGGTGGGGGAGGAATATTCCACAGGCCTCCCTCAGTCTGGTTCATCGTGACTTTGACAATTACTGTGCGACCTACAATAGAACTTACAGGTATAATTAACTGAATCTTAGAACAAAATTAAAACAGAGATCTTGAAAAAATCGTTCCATGAAGGGTACATGGTTACTGTTTCGTACATTTAGGGTGGGACGTCTCACGTCCTTTTTATCTACACGTCTTTTGCATCGAAACACGCGATTAGGTAATCACTTGACATCCATCTTTTATTATTTTACTATCATCGGGTGCATGGTAAAAAGAGAAAATTAAAATATGAGAGCAACGATTCGATATACACATTGTTTTTAACATATTTTACGGATTTACCTTGCTTTGCTATTCAGACTTCTTTACCAAATCTTTCCACAAAATGGCAACGTTCACTAACAACGTAACAACCACCAACCACCATAGATTAAGACAGATTAAAATGGATTAAAACAATCACTCCTATACTCCAACTCATAGATAATAGATCTACAAAGGGTAATAGATGGTCAACTCGAAATGCGCCGATTTGCTCGCCCTCCGGCAGGTGTAGTCAATACTAAATAAAAAAGGCGCGCACTTTAAATTTGTTAGTTACTTATTGTTTTTCGAAATGTATAAGTTAAAGTGAAAAATGGATAAGAAACAATGTATTTTCCTTTTTTATAAAAGAAAAGACATTGTCTCTTTTGTAAAAAAGGAAATACATTGTTACTTGTCCATTTTTCACCTTAACATAAGAATTTGGGAATTTTAAAGTGTAAAAGTAATAATAAGTGAAATAGTAAAAAAAATTTATTGAATGTTAACAAATACACTTGTACAAAATAAAATATTTTATGTAATTTGAAGAGACAATTGAGGAAATAGAAAAGGCCACAAAACAGAAGAAACAGTAATACAGTTTAACAATTTTTAACTAAAACCTTTCAATAATGTACAATTAACATTTTGAACACAAGATAATTAATAATGAAGGTAAAAAATAGTTGTAGCAACTTACGTGTTCAGATAGAAATTGATGCCGAACACTGAAACAATATTGAAGAAAAGGGGTTGTAAACAATTCCAAATTACTTAATACCAGCGAGTGGGTAGTGGAAATAAATGGCTATTCCGCCCATCTGAGAACACCAGCAATAAAAGTCATTAGATCGTTTAGTTTTTTTTTTTTTTTTTTTTTTGTGGAAGAGGGGAAATCTTCGAAAGACACCCAGCCGTCCGTACGACTGGGTAGTGTTGGATTCCCTCACAGGAGGACCTACCAACTAAAATCCCTCTCCCGTATAATAGGTTTTGCTAGGAATGGTACACCTAAAAATAAAGAATTAATAATAAAAATCTTTACATGGTACATACGAAATGCTGTGGTAAGTAATTTTTGCAGAAGCGTAATGCAGAAGGATGGATCGAAGTCAAAACTGAAGAAGGAACGTCATCGTTGGTGACTGTGAAAATAATGCAAATTATTGTTACAAAATACCTTGTAAAAAGTCCCAAGTATGCATAAAAATTGAATATTACTGAAACTATTCAGCAACATTTACCAAAAACTGTGTTAGGACAAATTAAAGGGATGCTAGTAGAGTGGCGAAAATTATCTCTGACTGTGAAATCTGTAAAAAAAATGAAAATTATAGGTATAGAGGTACCGCACCGAATACGGTCGACAAGTAAGTATGAATGAAAATTGAAGTGTAGTCAACCTTTTTTGGAAAACTTACCAAAAATTGTGGCAGGACAAGTTAAAGGGATGCTAGTAGAGTGGCGAAAATTATCTCTGACTGTGAAATCTGTAAAAAAAATGAAAATTATAGGTATAGAGGTACCGCACCGAATACGGTCGACAAGTAAGTATGAATGAAAATTGAAGTGTAGTCAACCTTTTTTGGAAAACTTACCAAAAATTGTGGCAGGACAAGTTAAAGGGATGCTAGTAGAGTGGCGAAAATTATCTCTGACTGTGAAATCTGTAAAAAAAATGAAAATTATAGGTATAGAGGTACCGCACCGAATACGGTCGACAAGTAAGTATGAATGAAAATTGAAGTGTAGTCAACCTTTTTTGGAAAACTTACCAAAAACTGTGACAGGACAAGTTAAAGGGATGCTCGTAGAGTGGCGAAAATTATCGGTGACGGTTAAATCTGTAAAAATAATTAAAATTATACGTATAAAGGTACCGCACGGAATACGTTCAAGAAAAGGTATGCATAAAAATGGAACGTTGGTCAAACTTTTTGGAAACACTTACCCGAAATTGTGGCAAGACAACTAAAAGAGAGGGTCGTAGGGGAGCGGCGATGATAGGTGACTGTGAAATCTGTAAAAATAATGAAAATTGTAGTTATAAAGGTACAGAATAGTTGTAGAAAAAATATGCATAAATATTGGACATTAGTGAAGCTTTCTACCAAGACAACTGAAGGAGGGGCTCGTAATAGGGGGATAGTGATCATCGGTTACTGTGAATGCTGTGAAAATAATTAAAATTATCTTGTTGTGTTCATAATTATTACTACTGCAGAGGTAATCATAAGTAAACTATCAAGCGAAGGGAATGCAATTTTCTTAATTCAGTATAAATGACTTAATAGTACATTATTATACACTGCAATGATACAGTATGTTGTGGGTATTTTGGGGATACGAATAAATTGTTTCTCTACAAAACTAAACATACAATTAAATGTAGAAAACAATTACACCCTCCGGGTCAACAAATTTATTCCTAATGATACGATTTTCACTTTACTAAATACAATGTCGTTTATTCAATACCACTATGATGGTATTATACTATTTGAAACATTAGTATTTTCCAAAGAGAGGACGAAATGTTTGTATATTACAAGGAATACAATAATCATGAGTAAAGACCAAGGAACAAAATCGTTCTTATTACATTGATAAACGAAACAGTTCGAAATATTGGAAACATATATTTGTATGTCAAATCTTTCGTTCTGTTAAGAATCAACACATGTCTGTAACGTCTTAAAATTGTTTTAAACGGTTTGTTTGTATCATGGCGTGCTGACGTAAAATTCTTCAGTAAGGGCACTTAATTAAAGTTACGGAAATAATCTGTTCTGTAACAGAATAGTTTTCAGAAATTGCCACATGATGTGTGATAGGAATATGTAAACGATGCCGCAACTATTAATTAAGACATCTAATGTAAACAACATGCAATTTATTTAGTTATTTAAACCAGTAAAAACAATTTACATAGATGTAAATCCCACACAGGTAATCGCAGTTAGCTGTTTTGAAATTGTTTTTTAATTGATTCAACTTCAACATCCATATAGCCATCAACTTCAATATACATATAGCAATTATCTGCGATATTTCGCACAAAGGCCATGTAAGGTGTGTTTGTAAGTTATATCCAAATTTTTACATACGTATAACACACACACATACACTTTCATCCAATTAAAAAACAAAGATGTGAGATAATTGTAACCATACATAATTACAAGAGAACACATTCGGAAACATTATGTTAGTATTTTATGCGATTATCTGCAAATAATATCAATACTTTGCAGTAGAAATAACGCACTGACTTTTTAAAACAAACAAATGCGTAACGCAACTGTGCAATAAATAGTACGTTTTGTAAAGTGACAGAGAAACATATACATTACAGTGATCGGTAAAAATTGCATTTGTTCCGACTTAAAAGCTTCATTTTGATGGAACGCGAAGGAAGAAAGAAAATTGCGCTACAAATAACAAGACAAGGAAGACGATTGAAGTTAACTTTTCTGTAAAATCATGTTTTTGTGGAAATTTCCCATTAAATATGCCATAGTTATAATTCTTTGCCAATTGGATTTTATAAACAATAATGTATTATTATTATCCTCATTTTAATCAGTAAACTTTAACTAATTTTCCAACTAAAATCCCTATCCCTATGTTAGCGTACTTCATTAGGTGTATATTACACAAACAAGTGTACAATCATGGAAAGAAAATTATTGAATATTTATATTTATAATTTCGTCATTTGCATATTTACGAATGTTGTTTTCTATATTGTAATTATTTCTGCAACAAAATTAGAAATGTAATTCATTTACAGGATGTATGTCAACAGTACACGAAAACTTTCTTTCGGTACGGTGTTATTTGTACTTTGTCAAGTTACCGGATTAGTAGTTTGCATGAGGAGATTATTCACTCTTTTTTTGTCAAGTGAATTTAATGAAACTTCATTTTGCAAGCACATGTCATTTAGTTCCATTGTATAATTGAGTACAAGAAAAATAAATCACTGTCGACCAATCAGTTATGTACGTATAATTTTCTTTCTTTCAAATCCAAGTTCAAATTCGCACTACAACGGAAGCAAGGTCACGCGCAAGCGAAACGAAATGTACATGTCGGTACTTCATAAATAAATAAACTGCTTCCGATAACGATGTCTATTTTGTAGAATGTAGATTATACTATTAATACCTACCACAGTCAAAACATTCGTTAAGTTATTAGTCGTTATTGAAATACTTTTCCTTATTCAATTTAGCATTACACATACGCCATATATTGTTATTATAATATACAAACACATCATACGTGTATGTTGGACATCTCATACAAAAAACAAAACTATTTCAATTTTTCTTCAATGAACAACGTTTCTGATAAAAGCATAATACCAACAAATATAGCATAAGTCTAAATTGCATTTTACGCTTTTTCGACAAGGCAATTACAATTTTTTCAATTACTGTTGAACCGTACAATTTATGTACTACTTCTTTTCTTCTCATGTAATTAGATGTTAAAACAATATTCATTTCTTCCTTTTCATATTCGACTGTTACAGAAAATATTGAATGCAACTTTTACTGGTGTTTCGATAACTTCCATTTTGTCAACAATTGTAGTGTACATATTTAAAAGAAACTCGTATATCAATAACAATTGCTAGATTGGAGCATTTACCTAACAAGTATGAGTTCAATTCTACTTTGCAGTATAAGATATTAACAATGTTCCATCAGCCTTCCTTCTGACTTTGCCCATTTTATGTTTATAATGCAAAAAATGTATGAGACTACTAACACATTTTTCTCGGTATCGTCTATCGAGTTGTACCGATTTTGTTTTATTTTTTTCTTTAGAAATGACCTTAACATAAGAAACGAAAGTGCCCGCTTATTTACTTTTGCATAACTTCATTTTGTTCATAAACACACTTTTAATAAGATAACAGCATAATAGGTACCTATACATATGTGATATTATGTGATTTATTTGTTTTCGGGTAATTATCAGGTAGCTTTATCTGTTATCGTTTTTAAGTTTTTAAAGAGATACCTAGGTACCTCATCGAAAATTTGAAAGGTGCCAAACAAATAAAGTTGGCGAATCTTTAGAAAAAACATATACATTTCAACGTTGCCGAAGCAGGCCTTTTATCTTTATCTTTTCATATATGTACACACATGCACTTGTAGGTACAGTACGTATGTATATATGTATGTATATATTATATGCATAATATTTTTTTACTGTATTTGCTCCTCACGTAAACAGTATTCTGTACTTCCACCGTCCTTACTTTTTGTAAATGGACAACACGTTTGTCTATTTTTTCACATATTCTACCACTATTTATGCATGCACCACTTGTTCATAACATTTCATTTTTTGTACTTCTTTACTTACCTTTTTCAAAAATTCTTTCCTGCTTTCTTCTTATGAATGACAAATGATAACAACCAACTTTACATTTTCATATTTTTCAAATACTCTCATTGATAACTACAGACAATTTCTATTTTTCTCTTTACGCGCTTCGCGGTCACGGACGCGACATTTGAACGTTTACACGTGGTATTTCCCGATTTCTTCTCCAATGAAAAGCATTACAAATAAGTATTATTATCGTTACCAATTTTAATAAAAAAATTTTTTGAACGTAGACAACCCTAATCACTGCAGTGCAAATAAAAATAATGATAATATTTTTTATGATCGTAATGCTGTTTTTCATATGCAACCCATTTTACAAAATCTTTAACCGCTGCAACACCGCCATCTGCCAGGTGTAGTCACTACTATTTTGACAGGAGGAGTTAACACCGCATGCTCCAACTCAAAGAAACGTATGACTCGAATGAACTATAGATACCCTCAACTATATGCTCTATGAATACTTTTCAAATCCAAATTCAATGTATTTATATGCAACACACAATGCAGGTAACAGTTATTAATTGCATATGTACAGAGTCTCTACTATTACCTGAGCTAAATAAAACAGTACGTATAGTTTTTAAAGTATTAGCGGTAAACCAAAATAATCAGTGAATTGTACATCTTATTATTAATTTATGTACCAGGTACCTACCTAATGAAGTTAACTTTTAATTTTAACGACGTATCGAAACAACGTGACGGTGAACCTAAACATTTTGTAAAAGTTATTAACAACTATTCCATAAATGAAACACATCGTCCGAAACGAACCAAATACAAAAATTAACTCACAATCAGTAAATTATAGCTGTTGATATGACATGTTTGGCATTGAAACATTGTGGTCAAAAATCACGTATTATAGAATAATGTTAGTTAAAAATAATAAAAAAGTAACACTTATACCACAAAATTATAACATAGACACATCAATAGGAAATTGAAAATTTGATTTACCACCCACCGCCTATTATTATCCACATCATCATTGATACAAATTTGATAAGAAAAGTAAACACGCTCCTTGCAGGCGCGCTTTGAACTTCCTTGGTATTTATAAAAAGAAAATATTTTTTGAATAAGCCGAAACCAATTTGATATTTGTTTTTATGACTATTCGGATGTTTGTTGGATAACATACTAGTACATATATAACTTTTATATTCGACTGACGATGAAATCTATTTTTACGTATCGTTCGTGCGTTTCAACCAGTAAAAAGGCGAATATATTTACGTAGGAAAGCAGATAAATAAAAATCGAAATATATTGAAAAATTAATCTTTAATGATATGCTTCTTTCGCTTTCATTAACAGATGTACAATAGAATGATAGGTACAATAGAAAGGTCAAGAAATCCGCAGAAACACGAAACAAAATTCAATAATATAAGTTCATGGTTGACGAAAATGTTCTTCTCCTTCTTTTCATACTAAATTGCTGGTGATGTTTAAAGCTCATGAACGAATCTCTTTCCCTCTGCTGTCGACTGTTTTGCAACGACAGCAAAGCGGAAAAAGACATGTTCGACAAGCTTCTTTTTTACAATAATAATGTCAAGTTGCCACTAAAAGAATAAACAAAAAAGGGAAACCAAATAATTTAAAGATACTTTCGTATACAAACCGACTTCAATACTTTGCGTACACATACATGGGAACAAACTTAAACTGAAAAAATAAAAATCGGAATCCTCCCCTAATTTTTCGCACTTGGGGATGGAATGTTTTCTGCAAATATAAATGGGACCACCCTTGAGATATGGCCTATTCAATGAAAAAAGAAATCGCGTAAAATACACGCACAAAAAAAGTAAAACAAAAATACGACTGAATTGAGAAGCTCTTTTTTTGATCTCGGTTGAAAAGTATTAACGCTTAAAATTTTACCCACTTCCATTTCATTTTCTTTCTCTTAATCTTATTGGTAAAGTTTATATTCACATGCACATATGTACATGTGTATGTATATCACAAAAGCTTTTTTGTTCGCTGTTGGATATCAATTGTAACATAGCGGGAATAAAGTGCTATGTCCAGTTAGTATTATCAGTCGTAAAACAATAGCAAATATACCGATTTTCAAGTTGAACATTCCTCACGTTTTTCAAAAATTTTATCTGGGTACTAAACAAAAACAGATAAATAAAAAAGTATAATATACATTTTCAACATTAAAGCCGCATAGTATATTAAATTAGATTTCCTTATAGCAACTAAAAAGTCGAATCCCTGTTATTGCTTGTCCTTTTTATTATGAACTTATTGTAATTTTCTCTGAATGAACACATCGTTTTTGAAGTTCAGTTATTTAAATACTTCTAACAACAAATTACATTCTTTTAAAACAATATTAATACTTCTAGGCTACCCGTTCTTTATTTAAAAACTTATAAAGCACTCTATTCACACTTGATATTACTTGATATTTAAATAATCAACTTGTCTAACTTTCAGTAGCACACAGTAGTCATTTTCGTATGTTAAACGATAAACGAATGTTGGACTCTACGCGAATCGAGATGTTTTTCAACTCCACTACCGCGCTTCCTTATATTTTTCTTAGAAAAGTAAAACCGCGCAGGCTACGTTTCTTTTAATACAGCATGTAATATTATAAAATATGTATAAATATATAACTTACTTACGTTTAGTTATAATAAATATGTACAGTTGCATATAACGATACAAGTTTAATGGTAATGTAAAGATGGAAAATGCGTTATTATAAGTAAGCACATTAGCGAAAATGTTTGAATTTTATCAATAGAGTGAGATAATGGCAGAGAAAATTAATGAAGTAGTCCATCTATGATCATAAATCGCAAAGTAGATGAACAAAATGAGCATTGTTACATTCGTCTCTTACAGCTTTCTGATTTTCTTACGGAAGAAGTAAGTAGTTTGATAATTTCATGCTATGTGGCGCCATAATCGAAGTAAACATGTTAAAATGCGTATCTATACAGTAAACAAAGCGACAGTTCGCGAGAGACGTAGATCAGTGTGGTTGTGTTGAGTCGCGACTGTTGTACGTTACACGTGTGTGTGTGTGCCGTTCACATTGTAATGTAATGTGTTTACATAACATTCTCGTTGGTAAAACGAATATTCTAATAAAGAAGTAATACTCGTTGGTCGATAAAAATAATCATCTCAAATATTATAAAATTAGGTGAATTGAGTAAAAAAAAAATGTTTTCACAAAATTGTTTTGATGCATCTGATACGAAATTCGTTAAATTATCTGTAGATTGGGCAATCGAATGAGTCACATATTATAATACATTTGTGTGCGGTAAAAAGCATTTTTGCCGTTGACTGCTGTATTATCACGAAGGTGTAACATCAAAAAATCGATAAGTTATGTTTACGGCCACATATAGAGACATGTTGTAGTGCATAGGAACTTCTACCAAAATTTATTATTTTCGATAATGCACTTGGGTCGCTCATTCGTTGGAATTATATTTATGCTGTTGTTACGTAAGTTGAGCTTTTATAAAAGCATCAGCAAGGGGGATCAGTCTTTCCGGTAATTGATGATGTGCGGTTGTTGATGGGGACATTGTTGCGCAATAACACGCGTAATCGATAAGGCGCCTGCCGAGTACCTATACAATACCTATATTTATATTACGAGTAGGTACCTGTTAATATTAAATGAAAGTATTACGGCTCTGAAATTGTTAAAACTTATGATATTAAACGTTATTATGAACAATAAAAGTTGGGAAAGTTTGTTACGAAAATACCCGCAGTTCGTCGTCAGCACCCTGGGGGAGTACAACAAACGTCGAGATTCGAACACTAAACAGTTTTCGTACAAAGTTATGCGTAAAAGAACTAACAAACCAAAAATGCCATTAAGTATGAAACACTTCAAAAGAAGAGTTTGCAAACGATTACGAGAGAGTCTGTTTTTGTGTTTGAAATGTAAAGAGATACTCCAGGGACCTGTTACATTAGAATGTGGTCATACATTTTGCAAAAGATGTTTAGATTGTAATTCCCCAAGGACTAGCTGTTTAGTGTGTACCACAGAGGACTATGGCCGAAGGAGTGTTAACATATTAGTAAACGATGTTCTTAACAAGTGGAGGAATGTGAGAGAGCCTTCTCAAAAAAGTGGTGAGTAGGTACCGAATAACATTTTTCAGTCTTCTACATATCTAAATAGAGTTGAAATTCGTTTATAATAGGTCCCTAAATACCATAAAATGACTCGTGATGTTGTCGTAATTACGTTAAAATGTAAGTCAGCCTGCATAATTCGCCATTTTCAATAGCGACTAGGCAATTAGGAACACAGCATTTTTTATCAAACGTCGCAGTCGAAATGGCAAATTCATGTGATAGGTACCCTACTGTCAATACAATATATGCCTGTACGACTACAGCAAAAAAAGTGTTTCAACTTTGTCACTACCACCACCTTGCTTAAATGATCTTTTGAATTTGGTTTTTATTACTTTGTATTATAATTCATCTAAATATTTAACTATTTCGTAAAGCGTCTAATCGGAATTCTAAAGGAATGTCACATTTTACAATGTGGCTGTGATATATTAATTGGTACTTTTTTACGTAATGAATTTGTTCCTCGTACTTAATAGGAATATTTATCTAACAGGTAGGTATTGTAGGTACCTATATTTATACAGAGTAGTTACGCCGTTTTCTTTTTACCTGTCTGCGTTTGTCTTTAATGCTATTATTAGGTAATGTTAGATTTGAGACGTTTATAAAAAAAAGCAATTACGTACCAAAATTGCAAAGAAAAGGGCGGCTGGTAACAAAAATAGAAAGAAAAATACCTATTACGTGGAACCAGAATCGTTTTAATACCTTCCAACCTACCTGTTCGTTACATCGGTAGGTTACACGTAATATCTACTGTTATGATGATAAAGGGTAACGTTTTCATATAATTTTATTTGCACTTGCTTTTAAAAATAGAATTGCTAACCTACTGGCCTTTGATTACGACTTTGTAGAACAGGTGTCGTCCGAAATACATCCATATATACAGGGTTGTAGTGCAACGAAATGTATTAGACGTACCTACAGTTTCGGAATAGCAAATTAAATGAAATTAATACCTAATTAAACATATGTAGGTATTTAGGTACTTTTTCATAATTTTTGCAGCACACTATACATACAAATAAATGCGACGAATGTGTGAGTTATGCAACGTACCTATGAATTGATTTTTATTGTATTGTCACTTGTTATTTATTTGTTTGTTTTGTTATGTGATATTTTAATTTTTTTGAAATTCTTCACTTTTAATTTCTTTACAAATCCCTGTTATAGGTACATAGGTACTTACATGTAATTGAAAATTTTGACATGGAGTATTTTTCCATCTTGTATCACCTAGGAGCCTAGGACATACATAATAATAATAATTGCAATTTAGTTTATTCGTAGGTGGGTACTGACTAGATATTTGTATGTAAGTTAAAGGTAGTTACGTTTAACCTATTCGTTCTTATATATAATTTCATGTTTTCGTAGTAGCTGTAGGTACCTATGCATGTGAGCGTGCATTTCTGTTTGTGTGTACGTGTGCATAGATTAATATGTAACAGCCTGACTTTTTACATAACATTCAGTAATTATGCAAATCGATAGTGTAATAACGATTATTATTATTTGCCGTTGTGTTTTCTGTTGCGGTAAAATCCAGAACAAGGTCGCAACTGATTTCGTCTTGAATTGAACTTTCGTGTTGTTATGAGTTACCTACATTAATAAAAATAAGTAAATACGTAAAAAAAACCTATTGTAAAACATGTACAGTTAATTAGAAAGCTCAGTACCTAACAAATAAAATTATAATAAAAATTTTACAAGTGTGCAGCTGTTTTGCAACTGTGAATTGTATAATGAAAGTAACCCTCCCTTGAATTTTTTAATTTTTTTATTAAGGATTTTATTTTTGTAGAATTTAGAAATATCATCATGAAGTCTTGGTTGCGAAATACATGCTCGATTTTTTCAATCGAAATAATATTGTTTATAAATTATTTGTAGGATGTGAGTAGTGGATAGCATACTGTTTATAATAGGTAGGTACTTAAAAGTTTTTTCCCAGCATTCCAAATTACCGAAAAGAGTAGTCTACATGCATTTGCGTTGTAGGAAATTTCTATTTGCATAATATCGTGGCAATAATTATTTCTGCGTGTAATAACTAGGTTAGCGACCTCCTTTTTTCTTCCAGTTGCTCGGTTACCCTTGGGAGCATTTGTAAGCTGCTGTATTTGTTAATTTGTACGTATGTAACCAAATAAACAACTGCATAATGGGTTGCATAATCCTCATGTGGTGATTAATAGAATAATCATTTTGTATAGCATAAACTTTTTTACAAACGGACATGTTTCGTCCACATTTATTTTTTACCATTATCAACACGTAACTAGTTGTTTGTAAAAAGTTTTTGGTATATAGGGTTGAGTTTCTTTATATTATCCAATTTACTTACCACAGTCTCCTTTACTATTGCTTTTTTAAATTACATTTTACGTTAATACCTTATTGTTAACTTTAATATGTTTAACAAATGGTAAATTTGAACTTTTTTGTTTCAGAAGTGTTCTTCATAAGTGGTCCGATAAACGCATCGGATTTCGAGTGTATCCTTTGTAGTCAATGTCTGTTAGATCCCGTAACTACTACTTGTGGACACACGTTTTGTCGTAGTTGTTTGGCGCGAGTTTTGGATCACGGTTTGTCCTGCCCTCTTTGCATGGATGTCCTCAGAGCGACAGATTTGAACAGAAAAACGACGCAAGTACTAGTAAACGCACTGCAAGTTCTTCTTCCCGAAGTGTACAAAAAATGTACAGCAGCTTCACGAACCGAAATTAGTTTTTCGGAAGAAAATAGTCAAGTAAGCAAGTGCTTTTTACTGCGGCTGTGGTTGCCATTATAAAGAGTTTTCCCCTTTAGGTTCCTGTATTCGTCTGTACGAACGCTTTTCCAGGAGTGGCGTGTCCCCTTTTTGTCTACGAGCCACGATACAGACTTCTAACTAGAAGATGCTTACAATCCAACAACAAAAAGTTTGCTATGGCAGTGAACACTAAAAGTAACAGTAGTTGTGGCAATGTGGAAAAGTTTGCTTCATATGGTACAATTTTGGAAGTCCGGGATGCAGTATATATGTCAGACGGGACTTCAATTTTGTCCACAGTAGGACTAGAAAGATTTAGGGTAGTGAACAGAGGCGAAAAAGATGGCTACGATACGGCCGAAATTCAATACATCCGCGACATGACAATACCATCAGACAAATTACAAGCAGTACTGTTGTTGCATACACATGTCAGAACGAAAGCTGTCTCGTGGTTGCAATCGTTGAATCCAATAGTTTTTAAAGAAATAGAAAGATCGCTGGGCCCAATGCCAGAAGTCGAAGAAAATTGGACCCGATTACCTGATGGACCGAGATGGATCTGGTGGCTGGTGCCAATTTTACCCCTCAGTTCACAGTTGCAGGTATATAATAACTTTCAAATGTAATTTAACTGTACATTAATGTTTTGTTTTAGTGATAAACTGTTTTTGTTTATAGCTTGGATTTCTCAGTAGCGTCAGCATTGAAAAGCGTCTTCGTGCGGTAGAGAAACTTTTGGACCATCTGACCGATCGCAACCGAATGGTAATAAGTGACAGTGCAGTGAAATGCGTGACAACGACCATCACAACGCCTACGACATCAACAACTACAACGACTGCTAATCATTCGTGTCATTTTTTTGAAAGGGAGTCCCGAGAGAATACGGCTAGCGCCATTGATGTCTTATAAATAAACGAACAAACAAGGGACACTTCTGTTAATCAATTTTATTGATAATAAAGGAGGAAGAAAATACGAAACGTTCAAGTTTACTACTATTTATGGAGGAATTAATTAGGTGAAAAATAGCATGTAAGCAAGATGTTTTGTGATAGGAAAATCAACATGCTACTGGTCAATGAATTCCGCTAGTTTTTTCATTTTTAAGTCTCTTGCTTAACATTTATTTTAACATGCGGTTAGAATATGTTATGTATATTTATTCATTGTTTTCCTGCTGTTTAGGATGATCTTTATTGGTTATTTATATTTGTAACAGAATAGAATTTTGTATATTTCGTTTTTATTTTTATA